ATTGTTGTTTTTGTTTCCTTCTTATTTTATTAATTACAACTAATAATTAGTAGTTGACATAGTTTGATTTAATTTGTTTAGCTATAATAATTTGGTGTGTGCAATATTGAGGAAATATTACTGCATTTAATATAAAATAGTGACCCTTTTACTAATCCATTCTTATATGAATTAAGACGTTTATACCTTCAGGTGATTGTTTATGGTAACATGTTAAATTTATGATTGTTAGTTTTGAAACAAATAATTTTAATTAATGAAAACAAATCACCCACCTATATTAAAATCTTTGCCCTTATATTTGTTTACAGGTAGTTGGTTTTGATTGTCGTTTTAACAGATTTTTCCTAAATTGGGGTTGAAATAAAAAAAAAAAAACAGCATTTACACATATAGTTTTCAAATGTGCCTGAATAATAAATTGTCTGCAACAGGATACGGCTTTGTATTAGTATTTTGTGAAACCAATATAACTAATCTATTTATGTTTTTAAAGATACACTAGCCATTACAACAAAAACTTTTTCACTATCTAATTCCCTATATTTACTCATAGACTTGTATCGCCAGCTAAAAATCATTTATTATGCTTTGTGACCAGAAACACATCTCCATACATATATCTATATGGTTAAAATCCTTTCTTTGTAATTATATCCCTAGAGTATTTGTTGTTTACAAACGTGTTTAACAAAACGCTTTACCTTAAATTGCAATACGTTTAATTTGTTTGTTAAAATATAAAATATTTAGTCAGAAAAGCTTTATATGCCGATTTTAATGACGGTAACTTCGTTAGAAATACTGTATACATTAAAACACGCTCTTCTACTGAGTCGACAAGAATATTTCATTTCATCGAATGCCAAAGTGATCTTTGATTACGTTTTCCAGTTATTGCTTTTATAAACTAACGAATGAACATCAATGTTATCAGTTATGTCCGCTTGGTTCGTATTCGAATTCGTGTTATTCGAGCTTAAATTTCTATTATTACATACATTTTTATTTAATCTGTTCAACAAATATAAGTTTTGTGAAGTGATCGCCAGTGTATAAAGTGATAAAAGATAAAACTGCCTCGATTATCTTGCAATATTACATTTACATTTCTAAATCAATTTAATTTTTTTTTTATTTACATATTTTTATTTGAACAACTTTTTGTCCTCCAAATTTTGGAATAATAAATTTTAAATGGTATTTCCATGTTTATATTTTAACCGTAGAACTACAGTATATTATTTATGGTTTGAACAAAGCTAAAACCGCAACCATAATATCAAGAAGGTATTTCTGTAGAAGTATTCCCCTCCCTGAAGTACGTCAAAGATTATAGACTAACCGCAGCGATAATCGATTTATGGTCAGTGTACAGAACTCATAAATAATTTTCACGAAAGGTTTTGCTTGTAATGAACGATTTCGACGAGAACTTCGCCATTAAGCTAGAAGCTATTTCAGATACAGAATAGTGTTTTTACTCGTTGTATTGCAACCGGTTGTATATTTAGACGTCCGGAATAATTTCTGTAAAAATAAATCAATCGGAGTCGGCGGGTTTATTTGGAATTCCAACAATCGGAATACAATCCATCCACAGATACACCTCTGGTTCTCATAGCCCTAGTGCGGCACAGGGCAGTAAAACTTAATGGAACACATCACTGTAATTGTCCAGAGGGAATGGGAAACTAAGCAATAAAATGGTGAAAAATTAATCTCACTTTACAATGTACAAAGCGATGGCTGTAATGAGTTTACTTCGAACGTTGCCTACCATGTCAGGATCCCCATAATGTATCCCATTGTCGACCCCTCATCATGGGGCTAATGAAGTTCCTTTTGTGAATGGATCATTTTAAATATATCGTGTATACTTATTTGTTATATCGCTGTGGTAATTTAGCCATTACTTGAAATAGCTTGGTGTGTAAATATAAAACGCAATAAATAAAGAATATTTCATCGTGGTTTATAATATCCTATGTAGTGATTTCTAGTTTATTTTATGTACTGTCTTACCTCTTACCACTCAGAAACTAAAATATAAACAATAACACGATTGTGTAGGCTTATTTGTACGAGCGACTTCATTTGACTATGTTGATAGTTATGGATGTTAACATTATTTTAAGGTTAACGTTTGTTAAACAGGGGGTTGTACTTTCCTTTTTTAGTGTGAAATCTGAGTTCAAATTTTTACATCAATCAATGGCAAAGTGATTACGAAGATAACTTTTCAAAACACTCAAATAGATTAAAAGTTCGAAAACTTGTTTGGTGAATTCCCCAAAAGTTATTTTTCAGTCTTCAGATTCTCACTTTAGCAGCAAAGGTCTGGAACATGTGTGCCTGGTACAAATTACATTTTATGAGGACGCGACTTTTATTTTTGCCGAGCAATGTTGAAGGGTAAGGAAATGCAGGTTTTTATGTCGGCGTTTTGTATTAAAGTGGATAAGCGATGGTCGGATCTGTTCGCCCATCGACTTTTCCCCATACCCGCATTTATCTGGCGAATTTCTTGTGCATGCGATATTGAAAGATTTTATTAATAAATTCCTGATTATAATTGCCTATGTTAGTCTACACGGAATGTTTATCGTTAATAAATTAAGGGATATTTTGAAAACCTTTAAACCTAGCGTGGATAATTTAAAAATATAGTGATTGTTCATGATTTCTCAAGAACAAATTTTAAAGTAGTAGTAGAATTCAGTGTTATTTTCTGTTTTTTTTTTTTTTAATTGCATATAAGGGGTACCCAATTTTATTTATGTATCAACCAATTAAATTCCATTTACACGTCCGAAGGTTCGATGCACGTCGAGACCCACTGGAAGCCCGCTATCTAAATAACCGCCTTGCATTTATTGAAGCCAAGCATGTGTTTTTGTACAACGCCCAGAACACTTTGGCTGTCAATGAAATCAACATGTAGCTTCCTGAACAGTTTTGACTTGCTAACTGGTCTCGTTTTTTGTGTTCCTAAACATACGAATTTGACTTTAAGTAATAATGGGGCTCAGTGAATTGAGATGTAATTCGGAAAAGGACGAAACAAGATAAGAATCTGCCAAAGATGGTAGAGTTGTGTTTCATGATGTTTATTATACACATAATTTTGCGTTTCTAAAACCTTACAAAACAGCGTACAGTTTGGCCCAAGTTGACTATAGATTCTTAAATATTATGATCAAATTATAATTCCGACATTCATCAAACTTATAACTATTGTTAACTTACTTGCAAGTACAGCACGTAATTATAAATGCCCCAGAAGAGATATTGTTATGAATTCGATTTCCACGCAATTTTGGATTTAGAAAAAAACGTTACTACGTTCCAGAAGCAAACCAATAATGTCAAAACAAACATTCTTTGATACTCACATTTACTCTTGCATCATATTACATCGTAATAAGCTATTTCGAGTTCAGTTTTAGACAAATGAATTATTATGAAAATTAGTTTCAAAATTCGCTGCACCAGTCTAACTGTAATTACTGTAATTGTAAACACGTCAACACTACGAACACGAAAACTTTTATTCAGTAGCCTAGTTGAGGCCAGGCGTTTTTCGCAATCCATCTACTGCTTTAATAACATCACAGAATTCAATGTCAACTTAATGCAATGCAATTCTCCTTCTCTTCAAAAGTAGAACCAACGTGCATCGTGACATCGTGTTTATGTACAGTACTTAAATGTTTCTGGTTATCAAATCATGCAACGGCGGACTAGCATTATATTTATCAATATTGTATAGCGGATGGCTTATCGAAAACATGAAAATTTTATGTTTCAAGAGTAAAATATGGGACACACGAATATTGAACAGAGTTGTGACATTTGGTAAGAGAGAGAGAAAACCAGAGGTGTGTTGGTGTGTTTCTGTGTTGTTGTGTGAGTAGATTCGCGTGCGCGCGCGTATGTGCATCCACCGCTGACGTTCCTATTGTCCTTTGCCCTCTGCTATCGGTTTTTATTGTTCTTTCCGTTGACGCCATTCTTTATCCCTTATCTCTTTTTCCCCATCTCCGGCTCTCGCCATTTCTCAGTACCCACCTTGCTATTTTTAACTGTGAATTTACTATGTGTTAAATTCTAAAACAGTGACCACTTACTTCGATAGATTTGTAAAAGGAAAGGATTGATCTCAGAAATTTTCGAAAGTTTCAACATTTTGCGCACTGCCAAAGAGAACTAGTTGTAGAGTACTTACCGTGTGCTAATATGCTGTACTTTTAAACATTGTATTTGTACCGCCATTGTGGTACTTTTTCAATACATAATATATAAAAAATGTAAACAGGATATTTCTATATTGTCTGGACATATTTTGTGGACTTGTTCCTTGGGCTAAGACAAACATAAAATGCCATATAAGTATGGGTCTAAAATGCCTAAATTTCTGTTTGTCGGTCTGTTTGTGATTTAAGAATATTTTTATATCTTGGGCATTTTTCAAGATAGAAATTGGTATACATGTGTATTTTAGTAGGTAAAAAGAGCTTACAAAGTTTTGTTCCAACATCTCAAGCCCTTTTTAATATGGTGGCCATTTAAAGTCTTGAATGCCAAATTTCATGAAAACCGTACATATTAGGAACATTGTTTTCAGATCAAAAAGATATAAAATTTAAATCCAAATCAAATGAGACCTGGTTTGTTAAAATCAGATGACAAACAACCGAGTAATCAGTTTTTTTCTACATTCGGTTACGCAATAAAACTACCATACGTCCATTCTGCTCCGTAAAATAACAAATAATAAAAATATTGAAAATTACGTATTGAAAATTTTTTAAAGAATAGATTCAAGTTCCATCTGCATGATATCGTCAAAGGTTTACTATTATAAAAGACTAGTTTTCCCTCGACAGTCTTCTGTGCTATCGACTGTGTTCACTATTCAGATTGTGAGTCATGTTCTGTCTGGTGACTTTTGTTGTATTCCTGTCATTTGGAGTTGTATATTTTGCTCTTTCTTGCAGGTGAGAAGAATAACCCCGCTTTGCAAGACAACTCAGAATTTAATTTACCTAAAGGTAAAAATTTTTATGTTGTTCCTCCTCTGTCTTGAATCTTTAAATCTTTTCCAAACTTCATCACTTTCTATCTCTTACTTCTCTCTGTCTAATGTTTGATGTAGATTGAAATTGGGATACAAAGTTGTGGTTTTCACGTATTTCTTTATTTTTCACTTGTTTAATTTCGGAAAGCTATTGCAAGTTTTCTTTATTGTCTAATGAAAGCGTAGTTGGTTGTTGTTGTCTCATACAGTATAGAATGCCAAATGCATTTGCTATGAGTCCAAAAACATAAACCTTGAAACTTATATTTGGGATAAACCTGAGGCAAGGATCTTTTCTCTGAACAGAGTAGAACTGATACAAAAAATAAGGTAGGTGTACTTTTTGGCAACAAGGAAAATCATTGACACTTCTGGTAACAAGCCAATAACCAATTACTTGGTTCCAGACAAACGTTCGCTGTTAGAAAAACCAATAAGTTAAAAATACTCGGCACCATAGTAGATACACTTTCCAAACTGATGATAAAGTGAATGTTTGTTCTGATATCTGGGATTCTCACAAGTCTGTCTATGTTTGATGAGATTACCAGGGATGACAGCTTGTGAAAGAAACAAACTTGTCATATCAGTGATTGGAGTTGTCTGGCTTATGTTCTATAGCCCTGATACATTGGTTAAATTGAAGTCAAACTAAATAAAGTTTGAGTTTTAGCTGTGATAATTAGATGTTTCCAACTTTAATTTGTACACTCAAAAAAACTTAAATTTGCTATTAACGATTATTACATTCATTACTATCGTATATTCTCTATGTTGCATAAGTATTCTGCGAAAATTACGTAAATTGACTAAGTTGCCCACTGATCACACATGGACGGTAAAATTATGTAATACAATTTCAAAATACAATACACACATATTTTTGCATCCTTCAAATTACAATGAAATGCCATTACAATGAAAATATTTGAGTGACATACATTATCCGGCAAATGGAAATGGTTTTCGGTTGAGTAAATTTTTACCATGAAGATGTCAAAGAACATGGTTATAACTAGAGAGCACAGAATAGAAATGTATAGAAAATCTGTAGACCTTTAAGCAGGTAATACAAAATATTCTGCTCACACTGTTTGACCGATTCTAAGAAGGTGTCATTATGACTTTTGATATGATGGGTATTGCTGCTGTGACCTAAGCTCTCCATAACGCGTTTATTTGTTATGTTTCAGGATATATTATATAACTTGTTTCAAAATGTAATAACTCTGCCGCTTGATATTGAATGATTCTAACACATTCTGTTCCATATGATATGCTCGTTACGAAACTTTCGTCATTTTTGAAACTCTAAATTCCAGCATCTCCGCTGATTTTTGCCATTGTTTCATGAAAATTGGTTTACATAAAAAGAAATGTATCTTTCGCAAAATTTATGTTTAAATAAAATTCGTATATGAATTTGGAAATAACATTTGGGGTTCCAACATGGAATCTTGACCCTGGAGAATAAGTTATCAGAATCACATTCTGTCTGAAATGTTTCAATTAACAAAGACAGTAGTCTGACAAGTAATTCAGTTAACAAGTCTTATATTCCTCACAATTTCCAATGTGACAATGAAATGTAAATCGGTTTACAAATATAAACAAAGTAGGCCTAATGTTGTACTTGTGGCTGTTCTTTTTATTTAACAAATCATTTTCGATTCCTAACATTTTATTGAATTTGTTTTCATGGTAAAACCTAAGTCCAGGAGATTTATTTTCATTACGAACATTTGTGGGATAAAAATTCAAGAAAGCAATAAAAATCCATTTACAGTTATTATGGAAAGGTGGTGTTTGTTCAAAATAAAAATGTTTAACGTAAATATTCTAGAATAGGTTCAATAAAATAATTTCAAAACTCTTGAGTAATATTCGTCATAGTAAGATTAATCATTCTGAATAAAAATAAAAATATTTTTAGTTTCAATTTTGATTTATGGTCTTCATATATTACTTTTAAAATTAAAGTAAATGTCTATCGTGAAATTAAAAGATTCTCTGTGATCTCCTTAATATATTTAACTGTTATATCAAGTTGCAATCTATGTTCAGACATAATATGTATATCATTTATACTTTTTAATTAAGTATAGTAATACTAAAAAATTCAATAACTAATTTTTAATGTTACTAAAAATGTAAAAATTAGCAGTATTTTCCTCCTGTAGAATTCAAGTAAGTCTTATTTATTTACAGTTAAGAAATCAACATTCTCAAGCTATGAACACAATGTGCTGCTTGTTGTGGAGTTATAGTAATCGGAGGTCAACTTTGGAATGAAGTGATTTCATCCCTGAGTCATTGGCCCTAGGGAGTTTTCACTTTATGACCTTTCAAACTGCATTACTTGCCTCAACAACCAAATCAAATAGGCTACTGATGTTACTAAATCCTGTTCAATAGTAGATTTTCTATAACAACCTAGTTTACGTATAATTTCATTTATTTAAAGATTGCATTTGTTCCGGTATTTAGTATTTTATATTTAGTTGGGTACATTGAGTGGATATTAGTTTTTACCAAAGTTTGTCGATTGGTTGATAAAATTGGTGACATTATATGCAAAATTACTTAATAATAGGATGCTTGATAGTAAATTAACTGCTGTTTATTGGTGGTCCGTTAAATTTCAAATTTAGTTGTAATTTCGAATTTGTGTATCTCACAAAATGTTAAATCCATGGAAATGTTTCGGAAAAACTGCAAAGATGTTTGTTGAAATTTGTTAATATTTTTGAAATGTTACCTACTCAAAGACGCATACAAAAAATTTCATAACTAATAAAACATAATAATAATAAAAACTCTTGGAAGTCCTTTAATGTTTATCAAAAATTTAGTTTGTTTCTGATGCCCTACAGCAATTTAGCGTTTGCTTATAACTTTTCATCATCAAAATGTTCATACACAACTTCAAAGTGATAAATTTCAATAAAATCAGTAAGCACATACTCTCTCCATTGGTAATGCAAAATGTTTTCCAGATAGAGGTAAAATTGTAAGAGTAGCGAACATAAAGAGGTGAGCTGAATAGGCTCAGTCAACTGTAACCATAACCAATATTTAAATTATCGTTTCTCTCAGAAGCCCACTTCACAGTGCAGTATGTAAAGCCATGGTTGTTATACCCTAACCAGATTATCTTTCCAGATAGCTGATTCAATACTGTACAAATAAAGCATCACTAACTCTTCCAGTTCCAAGATTTTTCTCTAAAAAAATCACAAAATAACAAGAATTTTTTAGCAACGGTTCGTACTGTTTTTTAAACATTATTTTTAGCTTAAAATGTGCATTGTCACACACATGACATCGTTATTTGTTCTATTTGCTATTTGTGGATATCTGTATAGGCTCAAATTTATATTAACAGGAGTATAACAAAACTATTTGATATTTAATAATGGTATACTCCGAAATTGTTCAGTTTTGTACCACTTATTACCACTTCCTTCATATATATTTTGAATACTGCTGAAATAAAGTAGAGTGTATTTTTACTAGTGTATCATCTGAAGAAGCTTAGTAATTGAGACATTTTCTGAAGATGACTTACTTCCCAGGAATACATAATTATTGAACATTTCTGTCTTAAATGTTATGTTTCAGCTTTTTTGGTGCGAAACAGTAAAGAAAACACTGTATGTTGAATTGTTTGATAGTACTTTCAAGCCCCAAAAAACTATACCAAATTACCACAATAAATAGAAAATAGGAATTAGAGATGCCATTTACAATATGATGTCATATGTACAATATCATGTTTTACAGTACTTTAACTTAAGCATACGGTGTACAAATGATGATTCCAACGTGTTATAAAAATTATTTTTACAGAAAAGTGTGGAATATATTAAAACAAACATACAGAAACCGTCAGATCGGTTGCTGTTGATTAAAATTCTTAAAAAAGAGTAAAGAACAAATAAGTAATCAGCACACATGAAACGGGCCAGTAGTTAGTTTTGCATCTCTGAAATAATTGCAAACCTTGTTGATTACGAAGTAAAAATGTTTCTCTGCCAAACCATATTCAGCGTTACTTTGCCTAACTTAACATTTATATTTTCTGTAAAATTACAACTTATCTCTCTGGCAACATAAAACGTACAACACTCTTGTATTTAGTGTTTAGTGTTTTTGTTTTATATAACTGTTATGATATTTTGGATATATGAATCTTTAAACAAAATATTGTTGTTTGTACAGTAATTATAAAATAATGCAATATCTATAACGTTTTGCTATAAACATGAAAAACAATATACTATGCAATTAAAATAGTAAATCCCAAATCTGTACTGTACTCTGGTATTATCCCTGGTCTTATCCCTTCCACTAGGTGGTGAGCACGATCCTTTGTAAATATTTTATCACAATCAGCCAAAGTAAATTTTGATGCTTCACATGTAGTCTGAAGAACTGTTATTGTTACATGACATAAGAAATTAAAGTTTTGACCTAATTTAACAAATGTATATCTATCAAAAACCTTGTTTAAATTCAATCAGTATTGTCAAATTTTAGAGATAAATGTAACGGAAATGAAGACATCATTGAACAGATAGATGGATTATTTTGTGTACAGTATTCTGTGTTCATGACTGATGTTGCGTTTATAAGTTTTTAACACAGTTGTCAGACCACGGTAAAGTTGTTTATATGATTAATGATTGGCATTGTGTTTATAACCTTTCACACAGTTGTTACACAGTGTACATTGTGTATGCAACATGTTGTGTTCACGTCTAGCCGTTTATAACTTTTTAATACCGTAGTCAGGCCACCCTATACGTTGTTTACACAACATGTTGTTTTCTTGACTAGCGTTACGTCTACAACTTTTCACACATTTGGTACACAGTGTACATTGTGAATGCAACATGTTGTGTTCACGTCTAGCCGTTTATAACTTTTTAATACCGTAGTCAGGCCACCCTATACGTTGTTTACACAACATGTTGTTTTCTTGTCTAGCGTTACGTCTACAACTTTTCACACATTTGGTACACTGTGTATGCAACATCTTGTGTTTACGCCTAGCCATTTATAAATGGTTAACACAGTAGTCAGGCCACCATATACGTTGTATATACAAAATGTCCAGCGTTACGTTTAAAACTTTACACACAGTTGGTACAATATGTATGCAACATGTGTTCATGTCTAGCGTTGCGTTTAAAACTTTACACACAGTTGGTACAATATGTATGCAACATGTGTTCATGTCTAGCGTTGCGTTTAAAACTGTACACACAGTTGGTACAATATGTATGCAACATGTGTTCATGTCTAGCGTTACGTTTAAAACTTTACACACAGTTGGTACAATATGTATGCAACATGTGTTCATGTCTAGCGTTGCGTTTAAAACTGTACACACAGTTGGTACACAGTGTACATTGTGTATGCAACATGTTGTGTACATGCCTGGTGTGTTGTTTATAACGAGCAGTGTAGCTCCGCCATTGTGCTACCAGACTCTGCAATTAGTCAATCAAATCATCCTCTACCACAGCTTGATCCTTGTGATAATCCTACCATCGATTCTAATCAACCCCCCTCCCTTTGCTGTCTCTCTCTCTCTCTCTCTCTCTCTCTCTCTCTCTCTCTCTCTCTCTTGCAGATTATCTTCCATTAACGATTCAATTAATTTTTGAAAAACTGTTAACTCCATATCATGCAGGCTTTGTGTGAACACATGTCGCTTAGTGCACCTGAATGAGTAAGGTCAGATACATAAATTAATGTAAAATGTCCAACGTTATGCTTAACATGATGCACTTTATTTAGTTAGTTTTTATAACACTACTTTATTCAAATAAATCAGCTATTTTCTTCTTTTGTATAATAATAATGGTTTCTTAACCATAATTTATACTTATAATACATTTCATGATACTCAGTTTGCTTGGAAAAATCTATTAGGTATTTATTTAAATGTTCTCTTTTTGATTAAATTATTTCGCAAATGAAAATTGCAGGTCAGGTTATTACCCAGAAATAGAGGAGTGATGTTTTTAGCGACGACGTATTTTGAATATCTTCTGAAGTGGGGCTTAAACAACTTGAGTGCCCTTGTCCATGTTTAAGTTATTTCTGGAATTCTGCTCAATTACTGTAACAGTTTTAGTATCCATTCGTATACCTTGGTTTATTTCTGTGAAATAATAACCCTTACGAATTCTATTGAAAGCTCAAACAATATAAATTCACATACGTTCCTTTTTAATTAATCGGAGTACAGCTTAAGTGTTTTCAGGTTTAAATTGTACAAGCTGGATGCATCTTGGAATAAAATTAATGACAAGTATGTTTGCTGAGGTGAAATATATTAATTTAACCCATCCTATACAATTGTTATGTTCCCTAAACCATATATGTGTCAGTGTATTTCACTTCGTAACTTATTACAATATCTACATTCTGAGCATAATTATTGGTAAAATATTATGGTAAATAATTGTGTAAATTCAATTAAATTATCACTTTACAAAACTTTGAAACACCATTGATTGTTGGCTTGTAAATAACTAATAAACTATTAGGAAACTATATTAAATTGATCAAAGATTAAAATGTGTTTAGTAAGCATATTTTTTAAATTCCTAAAACATAATTACAAATAATATATTTCACAAAGATTTTACGTTAAAATATATTTTTTACTTCAGTCACGGCTTACTAACTTTCTGAGGTGAATAATGTTGATTTGATACAAGACTGAAGTAACTTGTACAATAAACTATATTTGTCTAAGCAAGTTTCAAATAAGACCAAGTTTCAAATGAGATATCGGTAGAACCAGCATAGCTTGTAAGATACCAGCATCAAACTTAGGTTTATAGTAGGCCGACAATGTTCATAGTTTATAATCATCAATAAACCAGGGTATGAATTTGGCATGATATCATTTTAGCAATCGACCTGCATAAATAGATGTCATAAAAATTAATTTGATTTTGATTTTTACTTCAAACTCTAGCGGAATTCCTCAACCAAAATGTGATGCTATGGTTGGTTTTCTGTGTTTTATACAATATCTTTTTTCAGTTAGTGGATTTTGTTGTTGTTGGGAAATTGCTAAAGAATGTCATATAGATTTTAAATTGTTTGTGCTTTTAAAAGTAGCCTAAACTAACTACACAGTAAAATTATTCCTTGATTACCAACCCATGAATGTTTCCACCAAAGCAGAAAATGTTTACTTTAATTGGTTTATTCAATCATGAATGAGGAGGCTTTTATTGGAACTTGTATGGATCTGTAATTGTAGGTTATTCTTGGAAGATCAAAACATCTCGCAATTAGTTTCCCCTCTCCTGATACTTGTGTCTATTTTGAGTCTTTCATTCTTTCATTTCAAAGAGCCCTTAATTAATTGTTGATCTTTGAATGGCACATCGAATTTCGTTATAATTGTTATGTTGAGTATAGGTAGTATAATTAGACTCCACTTTTAACACGGATACTTTAACAAGTTTATTTTAATTCTATTACTTTTAAATTTTTCGTAAAACTTGGTTGCTTATATGAATTTATTTCTTCAAATTTAATTTGACGTACCATTTTATAATATTTGCCTGTTTATTATTGTATGTTTAAGATTTTCAAAATTTGTTAGTCCCAAGTTTTGGCATTTTGACCGCACCAAACTAATATCAAGTTTATATAATATTAAAACTTAAAACTAAATAAAATGTATGAATAATAATAGTAATGCTCAAAAGGATCACACAGTTTATTATCAAACAACTACAATATAGTTTTGTTTCAATAACTGAATCTCCAAAATGTATCATTATTTAATTATCAGCATTATCTTTTTCTTGATAATACCCAAGGACTACGGTTATTAATCATAAACTGTCCCTGAACATTGAACAAATAGAATAGTCTGGCACATGTGCTTAATGTCACTGGGCTTGTGAAGATGGAAACCTACTAGTAATTTAAGGGTTACAAAATAGTCATATACTGTAATTGAAAATGTTTTACTGGGCTTGTGAAGATGGAAACCTACTAGTAATTTAAGGGTTACAAAATAGTCATATACTGTAATTGAAAATGTTGGAGTAAAAGCGACATATTTTAGAGTATTCTTGCACTGGAAGGTTTAGTGGTGTTCTCTGTACTACAGTACATGATGTGTTTTCTGACAATTATTGATATTACCAATACGACTTTTGTTTCCTTTAGAGATCTTTTCCTCGTGAACTTCAGTAAGAGTTGCTGGTGGTGTTTAACTTATTTTGAATGTCTCAAAGCCCTGTCTTTGCATCTCTTGATTTGTAAACTAAATTGAGTGACTACAATAAGTAATTTTTGTTTCAGAACAACACCGGTACGACACAGCCTACGCATGTGAAGGAAAAACGCTCAAGATCGAATGCAAAGACGGAGAACTCATCCATTTGATTAGAGCCAACTACGGAAGGTTTTCCATCACCATCTGCAACGATCATGGAAACACAGAATGGAGTGTCAACTGCATGTCACCAAAGTCTCTCAGAGTGCTCCATAGCAAGTAAGTGTCCAAGTTCTGCTACTGTATAAGTATATAGGTACTATGATCAACAGTAGGGTCTCGATTGTCTAACCTAAAATGGTCGAGGCAACGTCGAATAACTGAAATGGTCTGATAATGTGGAAACTTACAAACAATTCTTTTATCATAAATCTTTAAATTCATTAAGTTTCTTTGTTGTAAAACCAACATTTTGCCCTTTTGAAGTCATCCTCACAAACAAAATCACAAGTAACCGACGAAGTAAAAACGCTATAGTGTACAGTCCAAAAGGATATAGCATCAGATTACATCATACTTGATCTTCCACAGCGATTGGATTGAATGGCCAATCAACCAAAGGTCGAAAAGCCAAACTATTCACCCGTAGCCATAGAAAATAAGGTACAGAGGAAACATTCAATGTTACACTTAAGTGGTGTCTAGCACTAGTCGCTGGTGTCTAAGGCAAAGTCCAACACCACCCTTATCGCCCTCATGTACTGCAATGCTCATGGTGGAGGAAGATCCTGTGCAATAGGAATTTCTACACAGTGCTCGCAGGTCAGGGTCTTCCTTGCTCGTCACAAGTATATTTCTACCACAACATACTAGAGCTGAAAGAGCAGGATCGTCCCATTAGAAAGTTTCCTCTGTGCGGTAGCAGAGTTTAAATCTAGTGTTAGGGTGGCTTAGAATCAGTGGCTTGAATCAGGGCTTTTGTCATTGAGGATGGAGTTCAAACTCTGGCAATCGCTAATGGCTTTTATAGTCTGTATGATGGAACCTGTCCGCTTACCCTCCCTTTAACTGGGGAATGGCCAATGGTTTAAATCCCAGGTGAGTCCCAGGTATACGAAGTGTCAGGATACAGCTTCCATCAAACAGACTATAGCTATATTAATGTCGTTGTCCAGGGGATTGGATCCTGTCTGAAGCTTTACGTATACCTCAATCAACATTAAAATAGCTCTCGGGGAGAACAGAAATCACAGTGATAGATATATTTATTAAAAAAAACCAATATTATAATTAAATTATATCGAGTAGTCAGCCACTACTGTACTACTATTAAAGTGCAACTAAAACTGTACTGGAGGTTAAATCATAGTACTGATACTGCAGTATAGTAAATTGTTGGTAAAAATAGTATGCCTTTGAAATCATATACGCTTTCAATGGACTAACAAACACTTAGGGTTGTTATATGTCAAGATGGCCACCGGTGTTTGTTCTCATATTCTGGAAAGGGCATTAGGTTATTAAGATGTCCCGTATTAAAAAAAAACTAGTAAAATAAAACTTTAGGCCTACAAAAAGCTTGTAGATAAACATTAAATAAACAAAAATTATAAAAATTTAATCTTTCTTTAGTTAGAAGAATAAATAATAAATATTGTATCATTTGTGGCCAAATAAAGTTAGATTTTATAATTAGCTCCCCATTAGAATGTTCTCCCCTGGACGGGCTTTATGCTAAGCAAAAATATGGCAACTTTAGTTTCGCATAAACTAAAAGAAAAGTTCAAAGTGGCAAAACTTTCTGTACAAACATTTAGAATCAATGCAAGCATTTTGTGTGCCTAGTTCAATGGTCTGTCATTATAGTACATATAAATAATGACAACATAATGTAATTCTTTGACTAAAGGAATGTAGTGTTTCTATGACAATTCTCAGAAAGCATAGCATTACTTTTGAAAATAAACTTTAACTAACAACCATTTGTCTTGATTAAATTGAAATTAATTGTTATAAGGGTTGGTTTAATGAGGGAACAACCAGAGAAGATAGATCTTAATTGAGAAATAGACCACCAACAGTGCTTACTAGCCTAGGACAGTGGGAAACGTTGTTGTACAGAAAATTTTGTATTGAAAAGGAAATCTGTTTGTGGTTTACGTTTCTATTGTAATTGAGTACGTTTCTGACAACAAATAATTTAACTACTAAAACTAAAGCAAATTCTTTGAAGCCTATCATTCTTTATGAACATTATTCAGTTTATACTTTGATTATTACAGATTTTTTAATGAATCAAATAATTTCTTTTCTTAATTGTTTTTCTGAAATTTTACCACCAGCACAATCTAGATTATGAGAGTGTTTCCCATAAATTTACCATAAAAATAGTTTATATGTGTTTCGAATTAATATTTATATAAAAAATACCCATATGGTAACAGTTTTACTTTATTTAATGTTATAGTATTATTATTACCTACTTTATAACCACATAGTATAAACGGACTGTAAAATATCCAGATATTTGTCTAGAATCTCACATAACGTGAAAATGATTTATACATTTTCACTGTTCCATTAGAACAAAGGAATTAATTGTTGAACATACATAAAAAAATATGAATTGTAAGGAATTGTAAGGAAAGATAAGGTAAATAGAACACAACATGAATATTACATGTTTGTGGTGCAGCTAAAACTAACTACTTCTACTATGTATTTTCTCAGTACAGATGGAAGAAGATAGAGGTGATTTCTTATCTTATTTTCAGACAGCTTTAAAACCTAGCAACTTATCCTTGGTCAGACAGCCTTTGTTCCTTTGCCTTGAGCTCAGTAAAGGACATTTCAAAAAACTATTAACAAACCCATATCTACCATGTCACATACCGTATATTGAATTTGATAGGTAAATTTGGTTAATTAATTAGAAGAGATATTTTAATTTATGAAATCAATAACTTGTTATATAATTTATAAGATTTTTTTTTAATTAGGTGTACACGTAAAAAGCCAAAGAGCCAATATTTTTAATATAGACCCTGAAACCTTGGTACATAAACAATAATGCTTAAACCTTAAACCTTAATATAATGCTAGTTAGGGGCTGCTTATGTATTAAATCATAGTTGTAAATAAAGCACAACTAAGCACCTTGAAATAATAATTTTTAATATTTTTTTAAATATAATTTTTATTTTTTTGTTATTTTATATTGGCTATATATATTTTTAAGTAAAAAATATATAATAATTATTTCAGGGTGCTCAGTTGTGCTTTATTTCCTACTATAGTTCAAGTTATAAGTAATATAATCTGGAAAATCTAAGGTTAAAAAAAACAACTTTTACAATTAATTATTAGAATTTAATATGTGCCAGGAATTCTTTTTATAGATATGATATTAGTTTGCTATAGTAGGTTATTTAGTTTTTTCTTACTGAATGAAATAGTACAAAAACATTAGGACATGAGGCTGGGAATCTAGCTGATGAAAGAAAACCCTACATGTTATGCTGACTTTTGTAAGTAATGTTAACAAAATTTAAAACAGCTGTTTACATTTAATACAATTTTATTTTAATTGCAGCAGATTTTCAAACCTAAATAAACAAAGTGAAAAAGAGTACATTTTAAAGTATATTAGACTCATTATTTTTTTGGAATCTCCAAAAATGTTGTATAAAATAGGAAACATAACAATCGGTTAATAACTTGTGGATTATTTTAAAATTATAACACCCTTAATTTTATTACACATGCATCACATGACGTGATCAATTTAATTTCCAAATTCCTGTTATCTAAATTATTTGTATTATTGTGTTTTAAACAAATTCCTTAGGCGTTGCTTTTTTTCTGAAATTTGGATAAAAACAAAGGATTATTAAAAACATCCACCCTGAACCCACAGAAAGATTACTCTGTGTGGGTGTGTAAATCTGCTCATTATCTTGAAGCTTCTGATCCTCTTTGTTAGAGGGAAGAAAATGTCGGATTGAAACTGTTGTTTCTTGCCCATCTGGATAACGAATATAAGCCAATTCTGTCTGTTGCTAGGGTATTGCTTTCTTTACCAAATGGTCACTTTTACAGTAATGGAGTCAGTTAATAAACCCCTGTTTGGTTTAGAGTAGGGATGGAGTTACTAATCATTTAAAGGTTGCTTGAGTCATGAAGTTAGATAATATAAATATTTTGCTGATATTTACGATGAAGTTTTTAATAAGGAAAAGTTGAACATGACAAATCACACAAGGTTTTTCTATACCGTACCTTAAACTAAAATTTGAAATTTGTGTTTACAAATCTTTTTCACTTTGATTCGTACCATCTCAACTTTACAGACCATAGATGATACCGAATTGTGCCAGGAATAGTTATTGACTGGGATGGATTATCTTCTCATGGTCGTTTGGCAAACTGACAAAAGAAAGAGTTGAACTCATTTGTTTTCTTATTTGCCTGTGGATCATTTGTCAGGCTTCCATTGATATTCAGAGTGATTGGCTTAGGCATTTCGTTATTTTTCATGTTATGTTTCCTTCTGTTTTAGAATCATTTTCTGATAAAAAATCTGTTTGTTGGTATTATTTAGTTTGATTCATCCTTTCTTTAAATTTCTTTATAACTTTGAAAAATACTGTAAATTCCTCTTCATTAGTTGTTCAAGTATATTTGTATTAGTCTCAAAAATCATGGGGGTTATCCAGTCATTTTAATTTGATTTGTGTTGAATTATCTAGAATGTTCAAGGAACATCAAAATGGTAAATTATAAAAATGCTATATTTCTGAAATTATATTTTTCTTTAAACATTATACTAATTAAGAAGTCTTGCTTTATAATCTTTGCAATCGTAGAAGATTACAAATATCTTGAGCATTCCAAATAGATCTATACGAAAAAATGTTTTTATTGTTTGTTCCTTAACTATATTTAATGTTAATGTTAATAAACAATTATATTTAATTTGTACATTTGTGTATGCTATTTATTTTATTGATTGGTTGTGAGTTACATGTTGTAATGTTTGTGTAGGTGCACCCAACACCAAAACTGCAGTATACAGGCTAGCACTAGTCTGTTTGCGGACCCTTGCCCAGGAACACTCAAATACCTGGAAGCTCACTACCAATGTGTACCAGGTATGTACTCTGGTTGTCCATATCGTTACATAGTGTTTCTCTTTTGTTATCCTCTAGTGACAATCATTAGCCTACTTGCATCAATACAAGTGAATATGATTGGTTACCTAAAATTAAAAATGGAGGCACGATTCTAAATCTTATTTTACTCGCAGGTTTTAGGTTTCTTCACGTAGTTTCAAAACAATCTTTTTAAAGACAACATTACGTACATGAAGTTACCATCTAGTTAAATTAAACCAATTAGAAAACCTGTAGTAGACTTATACATTGCAGAAATGTCCAGTAACAGTACATCTAATGGAAATAGAACAAAAATTGGTTTTCAAGTTAGTTGATAAAACTAGCAACTGTCTTGTTGTTATAAAATATGCTGATTAACTGGGGTAGACGATTAAATCTCAAATGGGAAAATGGGCTTTACATGAATCCTACTATTGTTAAACAAGTGGATACAGCTTGCTTACTAACCAGAAGGTAGCTGGTTCAAGCCCAAGAGAAGAAAGCTTTTTGAGGGTTTGAAAAAATCCCCTAAAAGATTTTTAGAAATTCGCTCTGTAGATATTTTTTTTAATTAAAAAAGTAAATATTTGAATGCACTATTTACAGCCTTTTTGTTACAATGTAAGTAAGGTTCTATAATGATAGTTAATGTAACCATTTGCTGTGGTTTACAAGTTTTCATTTCAGTTGGGCTTAATTGAAATGCCGGTTTATTTGACAGAAATCAGTAATTTATCAGCGCGCTCTGTCAGTGGCTTAGTTCAACTAGGTATGTTAATTTATTATTTTTTAACTTGCTACTTCTTAACATCAGAATGAAATGTCTCGTCTTCGTCAAAGTTTATGCTCAATGGTCATGGAAAAAACAGCCACTTAGCACTTGTCTTTCATTCATAATAGTTTGAATAAGACTAAATTCATTGCCATTTTAAAATATTGATGCAGTGATATAAAATACCATGTGAGGGAGACAGCTGGTCTAGTGGTTGAGTGTGTATTCAGTCTTCAAGGTCCTGGGCTCAATTCCTGCCAATCACCAATGGGTTTTATCGTTTTATGTGATAATGCTGCGACACTCTTAGATCTAGCCTGAGGTAATGCGTAAAACGGATCCAGAGTCTAGGGTCCTAGGATGAGGAGGGGAGCAAAATAAAGGTATTGGGAACACTAGTTATATATTGTAACTGATGTTGCAGCCGCGATGACGACCACCACCACACGCCCCAGTCCGCCCTGGCTCATGACTTCTCAGCCGAGTGTGTGGAGCACCGCCAAGCCTGTGACAGTAAGGCCAGGGCCACCCCCGCCGCCTCCCATAGTACAGTTCTCTCCTCCCACATCTACTAGGCCTCCATCTCCGCCTGCCCCGCCTCTGGACCTGGACTCTGATGAGGCTGAGGAGACCACCACTCCTCCTCCGACTACAGTCACCTCTTCCTCTACTCTACCCTCCACTACTGGTGAGTTACTTATATTGTATATCCCTCAACTTCCCATCACCATGGACGTGCTAGCTGGTCTGTTATGTTAGTCACAGGGCAAGCCACTACAGTGATACGACAGTGTAGGCGGCCTGTCTCAAACCATCCCAAGACGCTACCACTGGCTGATTCAATGTTAGCCTATACTCTATTCTATTCATCTTACAGTATAGAAGTAGTATTGTATCCATAATCACTATATGTATTTCAAATCACAGTTTCAGTGACACTATCTGTTCCAAAAACATCAGCCCTTGCAAAATGGTCCCTGACTTTTTACTTTCAATGATTTTTGTTATTATTGTAACTTCAACCGTACCGTACATAACTCATAATTCAAACATTAATCAATCATCAATCAACTTATACATATTTCACCGCGTTCTTTAGTTACCTAAGTGTTGAGATATAGTGTAAGAAGACTCTGAGGATTTCACCAGGTAGTGAAATACTTATAGGCCTATAACCCCAATCAAAAACAAAGGCAACCTTAGAGATAAATATTGCTCTTAAAACTTGGTCTACAAATAATTTATTGAATTACTAACTCAAAATATCAATCTATAAAAAACAATAGGTTACATAAATAAATGAAATGTTCTCTAGCCCCTTATGGGGGTCATGAGGACAGTTGGCCCGACTTGTATGGCAATAAGATGATGTTTTCAGTAATGTCAACAGCAGGACTATCTCCAATAAGACCTTTTACGCAAATGTGGAATGTAACGCAGGTTAAAATTCAATTAGCCTTCAGATAAGTTATCTGATCCATAAAATACTGTTAATATCAATGTTAATATTATTAGGTAGTAAAAAGATACAAGTTTCTCTATGCAGCAGGTTTTATTGTTATGAAGTAGAACCCCTCAGGCATCCATCAGGTGTTTCTGGACTCACTTTGTAAGGCTGGTTCTCTGAATCCTTAAAAGGTGTTGTTGATGGCCTTTCTCACTATCCCTCTTTTTCCAGTGTTGTGATGTGAAGGTATTAACAAACCACTTTTTGACTTATTTATCTATAGACAGGCTCTACAAAATTTGGTCGCATCTTCTTTAAATGAGATTTTGCCCATTGCCTTTTACACAGTTGGTTGGTTTATCTCGCCTAGGCTCGGGCTCGGCCCTAAGTAGCCAAATATGTAAATTACAACCAACCAACTGTATATAAAAAACCCAAGAATTCTACTATTGTGGTAATAACTTCCGTTTCAAAATTGCTGGAAGTTCTGATTTTCTAAAGCTTCTATTTTTATTATTATTCAAGAAGTGGACTTTGCAGTAACGTCATGTAGCAACAATTCCTGTTCATAGTTCAAAATCTGAAACTTGAATCGTAAACAATATCCCAGCAAACTCTCGATTCAAATTAGTATAGACATTTCTTTTACTCAAGGTAAAAGGTGAACAAAAGCAATGAAGACTTTCAATTTGAAAGAGTCTGTTGACTAAACCAAAATGAGCTTCAATTTCAATTAATGATGCCGCTTTCCAATTTGTACTTTTATACAGGATAAGTATTATATTACATATAAGCTAGCTTCTAAGGGAGTACATACCTTTTTATAACTGTAAAGTTACACATTTGTATTTTAAATAACTGGTGGAAACATAACCTAACTTTTTATTATACTTGTTCAAAAAAATGTATGTGAATCCAATAAGTTTTTTTTTTTAATGTAAGACTATGTAAAAAATCCCAATACGTGCCTTTGAAACACGCTCTTTAAAATTGTTAAATATACTCACAACATTGCAACTTCACAAGCAAGTAACTCATAAAACTTGTTGTAAAGTTGAACATCAAACATGATATACTGTGTCAGACATGTTAAGAGAGCTTAGATTTCATTAGTCTGAATCTGACATTGGCTGAATCACCACATCAAAGTTATAACCAGCTGGGCTAAACTAGACTAACACGGATTGAATTATAGCAGTAGCCTCAGTTGCAACGGACTCTTCAATTAGTCCACATTTCTGCACTGATCAAATACTATTTTGCCCTATAGAACCACTAGAGGAATTAGATTTGTCTATGCTTTGTGCTATTTTAGCTTGGTCATAAGCAAATTATAATGGGGTTATTGTAAATCTCTTTCATTGCTTAGAAAATATGTCCAGGAACATTTTATTTGTGATTTTTATATTAAGTTTTTCAGGCAAAATAATTAACTGTGTTATTTTTGTCACATAAGGATAAATAAAACTATTGAAGATTAAACCAATACAAACCTAAAACATCTATGAAATGTTTTTGTAGTTTTATATATTTAAAAACAGATTGTCTTTCTACATCACAGTAAAATGGGTTAGTTGTTGCCAACACTTAGCATTATTTCATTAGTATTTGGTGCATTAAATTTGTTTATACTCTAAAAGTATAAAACACTGTAAAAGTAAGCATTGATGTATTCAGTTAAGTTTTTAATTTTTGTATATAATATAAATGTTACATTTATTTCTCTATTATTTTTTATAGTTACATAGTTACCTTTTAGGATATGCGACCAAGGTTAAGAGAGGAAATACTGTATGAGGAACCACTAGAATCTTTCTTGCTGATGGTGATGTTTCTTTACAGGAGAAGTGTACACTGGGGAGAAGGTGCTACGAGGAGAGCTTTGTTCTCCTACATCTGCGAGGGGACTGTACTGGAACTGGACCCAGGTGGGAGACCTGAGTGCCCAGCCATGCCCGGGGGGTGCCACAGGGTTGGCTAGGTGGAGGTGTGTTCCGGGTCCAGACCCAGCCAGTGACCCACACAGACACCCGGCCAGTCCAGACCTTAGCGAGTGTCGTAGTGTGTGGCTCACCACTCTAGACAGCCGCATTACTGAGGGTGACACCATTATCAGCATAGCCAACGACCTCTGCTCCGTAAGTATTACTCAATGGTTTTTGTGGACATTTTCCATCACATGTTATAAACCACTAGGTTTCGGGATCTCAAATCTGGTCTTTTTGCATGAGAGAGTAAAACAGAATCAGATTAGTTTACAAATCCAATCAAAGCTGGTAAACGAAAAACAAAAACCTCTTAGAGAACTTACAGTAAAAAAATCCTGAAAGAAAACAATAAGTACAATTAAAGGATAAGAGCACACAATGGTGGTGGCTCCAACTATGTAGACTTTGTTTGCCACTAATCGTGTTGGTAAATGTTTGCAATAATCCTCTAAATTACATGAACTCACTATGACCAAAAATTAACTTGAAACCAATAAGTATTACTTAAAATATACCTTGCAGTTCTCAGAACAGCAGAATGAGCACTCTTGGAATCCAAGATCCTAGCTGAGCTACATATGCTCTAGTTATGATCTCTTTTGATAATGTACCCACTTCCACTTGTAGACAAGACACTAATGTAAATCTGTGTGGTATTAGTTAAGTTTCTACTTCTTATCCATGCATTGTTTTATTATCTTGTTGATGACATATCAGTTGGTATTTGTGTTTACGAGACCACTGTGAAAATAAAATAGATTATTTTTAAATCAACAGAGATAATACCGTAAACATTTTGTTTTTGTTCTGTATTATGCATATGAAAAATTTGAACTTGCATATGACTTTAAATGTTAGGGGTTTCCCTTGATCAATTCTCACACTGACTTTTAATGCATTCAGTTATAGTGATATAGAAATTGGCAAGAATTTGGTCTCAAACCACCCTTTTAACATCATAGTTTATTTCACAGACATCGTTTATATGGAAAAATATGCGTGGATATGATTTAACAACAATCTTCGTGAGAGGTGAAACTCTGTCTATGACGATTTACAACCTTCCTCGGTGTCACTGTTCCTAGATTTATATTTACAACCATTGTTACAGGTAACGGAGAGCAAAACTCTGTACGGAGGGGATATGATGACAACCACCAAGATTATAAAGAAGATGGCAGAGAAGATGTCAATAGACATCCAAACGTTCCCGGATCCTAGACAGAGAGAGGCGATCGTGACTGAGCTTCTACATGGAGTAGTCAAGACCAGCAGTAACTTGCTGGACAGTTCACAGTTAGCTTCCTGGCGAGATCTTACCCACAAGGAGCAGATGATGGTCGCTACTTCATTGCTCGTAGGGCTTGAGGAGAACTCATTCCTCCTAGCTGACACCGTGATTCGGGAAAAGACTGTTACCCATGGAGTCAAAAATATATGTGAGTATTTGTCAGGAGTGGAAACTTGGAAACATGTAGTATTATTTAGTTGTCTACAACTAAAGTTTTTAACTCCACATTGGGTAAACAAAGTTAACCTTCAGGTCTTAAGCCAAAATCAGGTTTCTTTGAAAAGCATTGATGTTTTAAAATCAATTGTAGGATTTATACCATATTGTACATTATCTTGAAGCGTCCCCTATGGACACGGTGAAATTGTGAACATCTTCCTTATCGTAGATTTTTTATTTAGCCGTCATGGAATACAAAAATATATTTATTACCCAACTGACCCATTAACCCCTTGTATACCACCAATATTGTTAGATCCACCAAAGTTGTGACAATCAGAATCTGGAAAGTGAGTAATGAATTACCTATCCAAAGTAACCAAATAGTGTATTGACAACATAGGTATGCAACCTATGGATTAGGAATGTTTAACCTTCCAATTGTAAAGCACTTCTTCAATGTTTGTTGCAGTACTGAGTGTAAGAGTGGTAGAGCTTCGAAATGTTGGGGCTGAAGTATTCCCCGCCCCTGGCTCCCTTGAAGGGTTAGGGGCGGGAGGAGGCAGCTCCGTCCCCGGAGGAAACTGGATCCGTTTGGAGAGAGAAGCTCTCATGGAGAACAGCGAAGGAGGTCTAGTGCGTCTGGTGTTTGTGGCGTTTGATAGACTAGAGGAGATTCTACAACTGGAGTCAGCCAATGCCACAAGGCTCATCAACAGCAAGGTAATGTTCATAGATGAAATGAAACATTATTCTCGCCACACTACTTTGTTTTAATAGATATTCCACATATGAATTTAGTCCGGAAAACAGCTGCTTGCCGCCTGCTTTATCAAATGGGACTTCAGTACATACTTACTGTATTGTAATGAATTTTTACCGGACACCAGCTGATTTAAATTGTCAAAATAGTATATTACGTTACTAGTCCTGAAAATAAGTGTTTACCGGACGAGTGTGGTCGTTCCCGTGCGAGACGAAGTCGAGTACGGGATTACCATACGAGTCCGGTACACACATTTTGGACGAGTTACGTACGATAGTTTACGCCATACTACTTAATTCGTACAAATCCGTATATATTTCCACCAACTAAACATCACCAGCCATAACCTCTAAGAGAGGTTATGTTTTTGTTTATAACCAATCATTGCCATCTAAATACAGTATAATCAGCTGATTGGTGTCCGGTAAAACTCATTGCAGAACAGTATTACGCAATGAAACCCCATTTGAATAAGCTGGCGGCAAACAGCTGTTTTCTGGACTAAATGCTTGCGTGGGAAGTACGTCAAAATAATGTAGTGTAGCGTAAAGTATGTTTTTGTAAATAACTTAAATAAATACTTATACTTGCTGAAAGATGCTGTTGAGTAAATAAATTGTGGTCTATTGTAGCAGGTATTTGGTGTAAATGCATGGGAAAGTTTTATTTATTAACCTATGGTGGTGTTCCAGTGAAAACCTAGTGTATAGGGCCAGTCAGAGACCCCTATCACTTACACAGCTTTAACAAAGTATACAAATATATTAGACTTACACGTTTTGAGTGTTTTGACTTTTTATCATGTAATTTATTGTAGTCTGTCAGAATAAAAAAACTGCAAATTTGTATACACCTCGTGTGATTATTTCAATTTAATAAGTACTTCAAAATTTGTAGTTAGATACCTCAGTGTAATAAAAACTATTGTAACTTTTAATTTTTATAACATATAAGTAGACTATATACTAAACGTAGGATGTTTAGCAGGAACAGATTTAACCACTATCTTTGTTTACAGGTGATATCAGCCAGTTTAGGTAAGGGACGTCACATTCAACTATCAGACCCAGTCACCGTATGTCTCAGGCATATTCGTATTGAGAACGTCACCAATCCTACATGTGTGTTCTGGGACTACACGACGAGGTAAAGAATCTTCAGATGCACATCCTAGCAACTGATCACATTTTGTGCACTAAAATATTGTTATTGTCATGAGAAACACTTTTCCTATGCTCAAAAAATTACAAAATATTCATTAAAAAGAAATAAATATCAAACAATTTACTATTTCAAGAATTGTACTTTAATGTAATTTACTTTAATGTAATCTCACTAACATTTTGTGCAAGTGGTTTTTACTATGTAGTTTAGCTGTCCTATCTACGTTTTGAGTGAACATGAACATACAAAACATGATGGTATACTGGATGGTCAGTAAAATTTTATTATTAAAACATCCTAATTAATCCTGTACCATACAATTTAATTAATACAGTATCCCTTTGTTTAACCTGTACTTATGTAATATAACATTGTAAATACTTGATTTCTCTTTGCAAGTTTACAAGATACAAGCAGGCTTTTTACACACAGCTTGTAAACAAGCCCAGTGTACTCGCTTGATGACTACTATTAAATATATGTCCATAATGTTCTCTCTCTCAGTAACTTTCCATGCCACTCACTGGATTTTGAAAGAACTAGATCATAAAACTATCCGGGTCGCCCAGGAGTACTCATAGTTGCTTGTGAAAAAGCGACATGTTTTTGGAGGATTTTGTTAAAAGCCAAAGATGTATGTACTTGCCAACAAGCGTGCTTTATTACTCACAAGCTTGTAATCTAACCCTGTGCACAGAAATGTAAGGTTTGCAGTAAGGTGTGTACGGGACAACCGTGCGTTTTCAGTTCTAGTATCTTATGCCAGAAATATACTTTTGACGAGCAAGGAAGAGCCCAAGTGGCAAGGACTGTGCAGAAATTCCTATCACACAGTCACAGGGTCTTCATCTACCGTGAGCACTGTAGTACATGAAGATGGGGGAATGGAGTTTGATACTTTGCCCTTGTCACCAGCGAATAGTGACACCACTTAAGTGTCATTGGATGTTTCCTCTGTACCTTACTTCTCTGTGCCCGGTGTAATAGAGTATTAACATAACTTTTGTGATCTCTAATCACCACAACAATTTGCAGTTCATGGTCAGAGGAAGGTTGCCGAGTCGAGTCCACCAACTTGACTCATACAATCTGCAAGTGTGACCATCTCACCAACTTCGCCATCTTGATGGACGTCCAAGCAACATATCTGCCTCCTTCTCACACACTTGCACTTCAAGTCATCACCTACATAGGGTGTATCATCTCCGTCGTCTGCCTCATTTTGGCTATTATTACTTTTCAACTCTTCCGGGGCCTAAAGGTACGTCTGCTGCATATTATACATAATTTGGATTTTAATATGCTTTGATACATTTGATTATAGTTCAAAGTACTCAAAGTGCTTTGATTTCCTAAGGGATTTCAGTGTCGTTAAAGTCTTATTAACAACTGTGATCATCCACAATTCTAAATAGCTTTAAAAACTAAGTTGATTCACATTCTAACAGAACATTTAGGAAATACACATTATCTCTCAACTTGGGTTGTGTAAGAAATAAGAATGATTACTGCTATTGCTGAATAAAAAATAAAAGTAGAGCAGTCACTAACCTCACTTTCTGGTTCAGTCTGATAGAACGACAATCCACAAGCACCTGTGTGGGTGCCTACTTGTGGCGGAAGTACTGTTTCTGGCTGGGATCGGCCAAACAGACCAAGCCATAGTTTGTGGCGTCATCGCAGGCCTACTACATTTCTTCTTCCTCTGTGCTTTTGCCTGGATGTTTCTCGAAGGTGAGTACTCTAACATACATACATTATGGACATTTAGTACTCTTTTATGCATGTATTCTCTCGCTCCATAAATATGCCACGACATATTACAATAATTCTTTTAAATAATAAGTTTTTCTGTGCTCATGACATAATCATTTCAACCAATGCAGTTTGATATGAACATAATGTTTCCACAAACTTAAAGTTTCCTGTACAGCATAAATCACTTACATAAAAAGTGTCTACCTAACTTGAATATACAGGGTTAGGAAGAAGTGTGAATTCTTTGTCTTATCTTTTAACAGGCTACAACGAACAAACTTATTTCAGCATCACTTTAGGTGTGTAATGAATAGAAAGAAACCCTTTGTCAGTGTTCCAATTTTGCCTAGAACCTTTCTTTTTTTGGTGATACAATGTTTCAAAAATCATTAACTGAAAAACCACTTGAGTGACCCTAGATTTTAAAGGTATTTCTAAAAGAACAGACAAGTTTGAGTTTTTGGGCAATATATAATACGCTTTCTATTTCAGTTTGAATTTTGAAACCCATTTTAATCTTGGTGAATATTTATGCTTGATTTTTAGAAATAACATATCAGGCTTCACATTTTACATTTAAAAAAATAATTCAAAATAGAAAATTTCAATTTTTACTTAAGCTTAACATCGTCTTATTTGTAGTTTCAATTCACAGATTTAAAAACAAAAAAATATCCTTTGAAGAAAATACCGTATTAATCACTATTCACTAAAATAACAAAAACGATTTTTGTTGTTCAGTATCCAAAATTATGTTTTCATGTGTAAAATTGGCTAGTCAAAACAGCTAAATGGTTGTTGAAAATAATTTCTTGTGTTTGTAGCAGTTTAACTATCGGTGTCAGAAATTATTCATGAGCTGGGAAACACGAAAAGGCAATTACATTGGAAATAAACTTCTCGAGTACTGCAGTTAGTGTAGTTCTCACATGCACAAGTTGCTATAATCTTTCTAAGTGCCATAATTATAGAATTATTATTCTTTGGCTCAATATGAGAGTTACCATAAATAAGAATTCCTATTTTATCGTTTTTAGATATAGATATGAAAGGGGGTTTTCATGATAACTTGTTCAAACTATTTTTATTGTTTACAGTTATTGATCATTAAATTAATATCTTTGGATACTTTGTTAAAACTCTCTATTCAGCCTATATTGGTGTATCAAAATAAAATGTGCACATGAATAACATGAATAAGAAAATTTATTTTAATTTAGCACATTAATCATGCAATTACCATGATGCAAATCTTTCAAATATCGTTACTGTAAGTCAACTTTTATTGTGAATAAGTAAATTGTTTCATACTCAAAATGTTTTATCGAATAAAAAAGAAAACATAAAGAAAATTGTAGTAATTACAGTTTATGTGCTACAGTTAAATAATTTATCACAAAACAAAACTAATCTTAGAGCTCTTTTTCTCTACGGTTAGTCTTCCAAGTCTTGTCTAACCTACTGTTTGAGGTAGATTTTTCAGTTGTTATATTTCATTGCAGGTTTTCAGCTCTTGTGACACTTTTTGAGATATTTGAGATAGAGATTTTTCAGTTGTTATGTTATTTTGCAGGTTTTCAGCTGTATGTGATGCTCATTGAGGTGTTTGAGGCCGAGAAGTCGAGACTAAGGTGGTACTACATGTTCGCCTATGGAGCTCCCACTCTCATAGTTGCTGTCTCCTGCTTCATTGACCACAAGAGCTACGGAACTGATCGATATTGTTGGCTCCGAGCTGACAACTTCTTTATATTCAGTTTTGTCGGGCCAGTTATTCTTGTGATACTTGTAAGTACCTTGTGTGAATTCCTGTGTGGTTTTTTTCTATTCCTAAACTCTTTTCTCAATATTTTCTTATCATTTAAATTGTTATGTGAATCAGTTTTATGATCCAAAAATCAGCACTAGGAAATTTTAAATGTATCAAAAGATTTAATAATAAATATTTACAAGCTTGCTAGAAACAAAGTTACACTACACCAATAGTAATTTATAACTATACGAGATCTTTGTGTTGATTCTTTGGTGGCCGTTGTTAGTAAGACATATTAAAAATTCATTTTGTGGACACGCATGACAAATTTACAACTTAAAAATAAGAAACACAAAATTGTGCTATGTTGTCATTATATCCATAATATTCATAGACAACTAGTTGCAGTTGTTTATCAAAGAATTTAATTACAAAATCAATTACGTGATGAAACTAAACAAGCACATTATGTTATGCTTCATTAGTACTAAGAAGAAATTCCATTGAAAATCCCACCCTGATGGGACAGTTTGCGTGGTTATGAAAGTTAGCAACCTCTAATGTTCTCTAGGCTAATTCTGTTCCATACAACAAAGTTCTAAGTGGTCTAAAGTGACAGGCAACAGCATTAACCAGTGGCAGGTATTGACGCACAAATATCCAACTTGGCCATACAATGGACATAGTTGCTTCATCAGTAAACAGAAGTTTCTTTGGCTTGTCTGTATCTGAACATTCTGAACAGATATTTGTATTTGTTTTATTACGGTTATATTATGTTTATCTTGGTTAGTGTATTTTTTGCAATATAAACTTTTGATGTTGCACTTAACCTTTACCTATTCTTAACTAAAACTTCATTTCAACTTACTATATCTGTAATTAAAATTACTAACCACCTACAAAACACAGTATTTGTTACAAAATATTAAATAATGACAAAATATTAAAATATGTTCTAATATTTCATCCACTAATAATTTTGATAACACTTCTTAAGGTGTTAAGCTTGTGCAGTTGTTTGGATTTAAGTTTGAAATATAAAGTTCATTAGCCTTTATAAAAAAAATAAGAAAAATCTTTAGAAGACAACAATTTTTTGAATCTTGAAGAGCAACTATCAATTCCCAGCTTGAAAATTACATTTATAATGTAATATGTGACCTTAAATAGCTTTAAATAGTTGGACCAACACAGAAAATAAGTTTGGACAGTAGGTTTTAGGCTACTAACAGATAAAAGCCATAAAAATTATTCCTAAACTAAATTATGATCAATCTACCATTGAAGAATACTTTTTAACTCTTTAAATTCCTACATTTAACACAATACATCAGATTGTATATACAATACAATCTATCAGTGGGCAATACATCTATGACTGCATACTAATTTCTAAAGATAAGGCAGTAAGCTCTAAATCTTCTATATGCCACAAGTGTAACACAAGATGTAAATATTAAACAATCCCAACTCATCGTAGATCAATATTTTATAAGAAAAAACAATACATTTGGGAAAGAAGTGTTCTATGTATTTAGCAAAAAAAAAATCTGAAAATAATATTGATAAATTCGGTACATACGGGAATTTATAATAAACAAAACAATTTATTCTGTAGATGGGTTTTGCCACCTCTGATCACTTTTAGGCAGAACTAAAAGTATGTATGAAGACAATGGTGTTAAATAAATAGTTAACGCTTGAATACTGATCTATTTTTACAGCAATGGTTGACACTATTTATGTAATATTGTACAAAATAAAGATTTCTATTTCATTTGTTTTAAACACAATATCAAGCAAATTTCTGATTGATGGCCATGTTCTTCTTGTTTTAAATACCGTACTTTGTGTTCCAGGCAAATCTAGTCTTTTTAAGTATGGCAATCTACATGATGTGCCGACATGCCAATGCATCTGTCTCCATGAAGAGCAAGGAGCATTCCAGATTGGCCAGTGCAAAGTGAGTAGTTTAGACTCATTCTAGAACAACTTATTTTACGAGTGTGAAAACCTGTATTGATCAATTCCGCATGACTTCACTGTTTTCAGTCATTGGGTTTGAAGAACAACTGGTTTTTACTATAGTTTAGATTGTTGTATATTTAAGGTGTTTTAATGTGTTCAGCTAAAAATTGAGGTAACATGAGGTTTACAAGCTGTTATTGTTGGATTCAAATTATTAAGTAACTCTGTAGAATGTTTATAGATTTTTAAACATCCTTTTTATAAATCAGAGGCATCATAAAAATATTTTACTTTTTAACTAATACGGGACTAAAACCTGTTTACTCTGGGGTATTAACTCGCCATCAATAAATTTCAAACGTATCATATTCTGTGTCTTTTTTTAGATAATTGAGAAATTTTAACAATTTTTGAAGCCAACATTTTAGTCATGTTGGTCACTAAGTACGTGAAATGTTCAGCATATTTCACGTTTATTTAATCATAGTAGATTATGATATCTCCTCTAACTATCACAATAATTGTGTAACAATTAAACAGGACAGAAATTAAGTTATCTAACTTGTAAAAAGTATGTCAGTCACAACAGTGCTTAATATAACCATAAAGACTAATTAAATTTTGATAATGTCAATCAGTTCGATAGAAGTAAATATTTCACGTTTTGAGGCAATACATCCATTAAGTAAACCTGTATTTCAATTTATTACATAAATCAACATTTATATCCATCTTCATGGTGTTTGTTGCATCCACTCAAAAAAGAGTTTGTTACAAAGCTTTGTATTTTATCACCCTGTATAATGTTAAATTCCATAACCTTTTTACACTATTCTTAATCAATTGTTTTAATTTGGTCTGTTTGAATTTGTATGGTAATATTAATTTACAATCGACATGACAAATGTGGGTAACAGAGACTATGTTAAGTGTTAGATTGACAGTTTCCCCATTGATTGTATGGTGTTATGGTGTCCGTGTGACCACAGTACGGTGATTAACATCCGTGTTTCTCTTGCATGCCATAGTGGCGGAGAGGAGAATGCACTTCAGAACAAATTGCTATCACATCTGTAAGATCATTTCAATACAGTATTATGTTTATACCTGATGTGTAACATAGCTGTAGCTAGCTTGAATGTTAGTGTAGCTAGAAGCTCCGTTACGCTCTGTAGCTAAGCTCAGCTACCCTAGGATCACATCTCATTCTCATTCTCATGCTTCCTGATACCACATTTTCATCTTCTCCAATTATTTGTTAGCTCTGTAAAGATTTACAATAATATAAGTTATTCTTTCTTTATAGGATTATGTTATAGTTATAGGTTGCCTGTGTTACCGTTAGATTGATTCTTGTAGTTTTAACTTTGAAGTTTGTGGTGTAGAAAAATGAGCACAACTTCAGGTCTTAGATAAAACTACCGATTGATTTTAAAGTGACACAAGTAACCCATATACTGTATAGCTTTAATGGCTAATTCTGAAGATCCAAAGGCCAATCAATGATTACATAAAAAATTATAGCATTGTTATTGTTATTATTTACTTGGGCATTTTAAATAGAGCATTTTGGTTTAATAGAGGAAATTATGGTATTTATATTGTGCTTAAAATTTGATAAAGCAGTCAGAAATTACAGTAATTGTTTCTTTTAAAATCATATTTGTTACCATTAATAATCAAGTTTATCACAATGAATTAAATATAGCACAAAAAAATAAATTTTACATTAATAAAACCATTAAAATAAATTACCATGACTGTGGAATCTATTGCTGGGTTGTTATTTGTCAAGTTTACAGGTGTAGTAAATATTGTTAAATTCCTTGCTCATCTCAGCTGATACATTTTAATTTTTGTTGTTGTAAATTTGATTTAAGGTTGAGGTTGAGAACTTAAAATTCAGCACAATTTTGTTTTAGAGTATGATATAGTTTTTGTTGAGGCAAAATATAACATTGGCTTAACAATGTGGATATAAACTCATGTTAGTTCTGATTTGTTTTTAAGTCATATCATCTGTTGTGCTTAAATGCATTAGCTGAATATTTTTATGATTGTTAGTACAAACGAATTTTAAAAACTAATCATCTTTATGTATTGTAGGAATTCACTTTACTTACATTTTTTTTTTCTAATCGTTGCACCCTAATTAGGTTTGCATTATAGGCCTATCCCTTTCAGTTTCACAATTGTCAAATCCTACATCAATTTTTTTCTATGTAGTGATAATCTCGTACCTATTTACTTTTCTTTGTGCTTGATAGAAATTCATTGGATGCTTAACTATTTTTTAAATTTTTGCACTGTACAAATTTATTTTCTTCAAAACTTTGTTATATTTAGCCTTGAGATATCAATAACTTATTAATATTTTTATTGCTATTTATTATATAATTTATGATTAGTTAACCAAAATCTGAAAAAATTCTATATTGAAAAAATGTTTACATTTTATGTTTGTAGACTTAATGTTTGTATGTTCGTTATGTTTTTTTTATATATGTAAACATTTAGGTGCTCACAAATTATAAAATAGATTACCATTTTCACCTTACCATAAATTTCACTATTAATGACAAAACCTGTACTTTATAGTCGGTTATTCATACACAAGTGTACTGAAGCTTCATTTATATGTTTAATATTTCTCAAAACATTACTCTTTTTATCAACACTCAACATTTTTAGTAAACTATTGCATTCCACTGTTTGTTGTGATTTTTTTTTCAATTCACAATGTCTTGATAGTTTTATAAGGTTTTTTATAAAACACTTCCCATTGGTAGTGGTAATAAAATAGAATCGTGTACTTGTCTACATACACTCAAAACTCACACAAAAATATTTAAATGTTGAAATATAAATTGCATGGTTAATAAAACATTACTAAATTAAGATATTGCTATATGCTGCTGAGTTTTATACTAATGTACAGAAGAACTCCAACAATTTTAATCAATTTGGATCGTAACACATTCGGATACTCAACAATTTTATTTACTGGATTTTGACCAATATTTAGGGTATTCTACAGAAATTAGCCGAGCTTTTACTATTGCAATCAACAACGTGTCTGTAAAAATTTCGCTATAAAAAATTCACGCTTTAGCCGCGATCACGGAGGACGATTATGATTTTCCGTTAAGGTGAAGACGATGATGATGTTCTACAAGAACACGGAAGATGTGCAAGATTTAGCCGTGATCGCGAAAATCGATGAAGATGTTTTTGTAACCGCGGGAGACGATTATGATTTCTAAAAGACCGTCGAAGGTGTGCAAAGTTTTGCCGCGATCGTGATATACAATGATGATGTTTCCGCGACCTCAAGAGACGGTAATGATATCTACACAACCGCAAAAGAGAGGTTTTGGATTAAGCCGCAATCACGACATCTGTCTTCTTTAACAATGATTTCTTATTACTTTTGTTTTAAGTTTTTTTATTCGTTCTATAAGCGATTCGGATAGTTTGAGTTTGGATAATTGGAGTTCTGCTGTACTTATAATACTTCATATGGTATTATAATAATTTATTCTTGCGCAGTATTTTACATGTTTACATAGTCTTTTAATTAATTGAACTTTTAGGTTATCTGAACTTGGTTAAGATGTGGTGACTAAACAACGGACACCTAAATAACTATGACATAATGAAATATATCTCTTGAAACACAACCTTTCATAATTTCATAAATTTCAACTTAATAAATAAGGTTCATTTTAAAAGCAATAAGAATTGCCCAAATCTATGTAATTCCTGTTATTGCGCCTGATTGAGGCTTAACAATTTAACAGTGATTTGACTTGGCTCTGTGTGATGTTTCAGGGCCTGGCTACGAGGGGCCATCGTGTTAGTGTTTCTATTGGGACTCACATGGACCTTCGGACTCCTCTATCTTAACGAAGAATCCGTCTTCATGGCATACATATTTACAGTGTTGAACAGCTTACAAGGACTCTTTATATTTGTATTCCATTGTGTTCAAAATGAAAAGGTAAGACGGCTCATTGGACTCGGCCACACTACCACTCTCCTGTAGGCACCGTAGGTTAACTTGAAAGTATTTATGTAAATGGACTTGCAGATTGTATTAAATTTTTATATGAATGGTCAATAAATGATATGATTGACACTCTAGGCCTCGTTTATCCACCAATACATTTTATTTTTACAAGAGTGTTTTTATTTATGAAACTTTTATTTGTAGTTTAATTTTTCTTCGATTAATAGTATGCTTTTTTTCAATTGTTTTAACTAGTTGCGTCTTGACTATGGGAATGGAGTAAAGAAAACAATGGAATATATGAATTCCTTCAACGCTCAATACTCAAAACAAATTTTTAATACCACATTTGATTTGTATTTCCTTTGACTTTTACTTTATTGAAAGTCGATCTTTTTCTCATCCAAATAATTTGGTGTTTGTTGTGTATTATAAATCATTCTATCTCTGACATAGCTTCTTTACTTAAGATTTCAACATTTAATTGCAATACTTAATCAATGCGTTAGCTACTAAACTAACCTCAGACTTACAAAAAAATCAACCGCCCTTACTAAATTACAATACATGAATACATTATGACTGTCATTTAGAACTAACCCATGAATGTTCAGTTCCGTGGTGTTTTCGATATAGTTAGTCATTCATAAAGTCAGAATATTGGTGGAGCTTCAGCCATCATAGGTTAATTATGGTTTGAATCTCGTCTTTATTAAGTGTAGCGATTTGCAACTCATTGAAACTTAATCTTATTGAGAGTATCAGAATATTCGTAGCATGTTACATATCCGATCAGATATTTTGTTACCGATCCCTATCGTGTTTAGTAACACATGTTTACAATTTGTTTAGGGTTCTGTATACAAGTTTTGTGGTCGTAAGGTATAAAAAAGCAATGAGTTATAATCAAATTAGCCTATCTGATTAATGTAAATAAAAACTCAAAGATCATTGTAAGTATTTTCAAAGTTCAGAAATCTGTAATATTATCCTGTAATACTTGTGTTTAAAACTATTCATACAAGCTTAGTTGGGCAAAACCCTAACTACTCATTTGTTGGTTGCAGTAAAATAAGTGATAATTGGTATTTTTTGAATTATTTCATCTAACACATTCTCAATTCATAGTGGATGTCTAAAAAGTTTTACTAAAATTCACTAAATGATTAGATGGTTTAGGACAAAAACAAAACATACTTTGAGTGACTGAATTCATAGTGTTTTAAAGTCCATCTTATAGGTAGGATTCATAATTCTGTTTATCAATTATTTTAAAGCCGCCTCCAATCGAGTTAAGGTTCAATAAGATTATCAAATTTCACGACATAAGACACAATGTACCTTAAATTTGCTCAGTGGTACTGTGTGAGATTACGTTCAAAAACAGTACAGCTTATCCCTACAACGTCGCCTTCCCTGATGATAAAAAGCTCAATAAGTATTAAAATTTAGCAGTAGGCCATTGCATTTATAAGCTCAATGATTTTCTTGTTTTATAAATTTCCAAGTAGGCTACTAAAAACTTAAAACCTGCAACTAATTTCAAAAAATAAAACAACTTGAGATTCTTAACTTCAAGTTACCTCCCAAAAATTATCATTACTCCCTATTCAAATTTGGTTTTAGCAGGCTTAAATTCTTCAATACTTCTTCATTATACTTATTTTATTAACACGCTCTATTTCTAAGAGTAGTTCTAGCTATTTTTTCTGTTGTTAAACTTTTATTTGTCGATTAGTTAATATATTTTGGAATAAGTTTTAGTATGTCTGTATATTTCTGCTCTCTTAATCTTTCTCTTGTTGACATTTTTCCGCTGTTTAGCCTCCTTTGCATTTATATGTTCACTTCTACTTTTCTATGCCAAGCTAGGTCAGTTTGAAAACACATTTCATGCTTGAATTTAAATCTCTGCTCTTGAAAGTTTTATTTCAGTCCAGCCAATATAAAATTATTGGTTAAATAACAAATTTGGAATAAATGTTTAGAATATATTTGTTAATGTTTTTGATATTTGATTAATGTGTAATATAAAAATTAAGGCTTGTTAAAAAGTGTTTATAAAAATATAAAACTTTACAAACAAGTAGTTATTTTAATTACTCATAAACAATAAAGCAAAAACAATTTGACAAGATAAATAATGATTTGTAGTAATATAAAATCATAAAAATAAATTTATCTCTACCCATAGATAAATATTGTATTTGAATATCAAAAGTGCTATTGAAATTTTTTTAATAAATTTAAAAAAATCATACTACCTACTTAATAGTGAAAAAAATCATTAGGAAAAAAAACCTTAACTAAACCCTTGTTTGTTTATACAACATGTTTATAGACTTATAAATAACACCTCTATTACCTTTAAAACATTTATTCATACAACTTGTTCTTCTAACATAAATTAACTCATTTCATTAAGGATACAATTTGTTGTTAAATTATGCAACTAATTTAATTTGAAACAGAAAGACTGATTTGTAAATTACCATTTTTTTCTGGCATCTCCTATTTGATAACTTGGACTATGTTTTAAAATGCTCACCTTTAACCTAATCCGACACGAGGATTTTATTTACGGAAAATTGACTGAGAATTCAGTTATTTATAAAAATGGGGAATCGGAGGAGTCTAGGGGTAGTGGGATATTTAATGGGGTATTCATTTTAGACCTTGTTTCCTCTTCCATGCTGCTCAATTCACTTAACTACTTCATTCGTGAAAAATAAGGTAAGATTTTTACCTTTTTGAAATTTGATTTTTTAATGTTTCAACTTTTTTTAGATTCTTAGACACAAAAATATTTAATTGGGTTTTCTATTTAGTTAAATCACTGTACGCATCATGTGCATCTGCTTGCCCTTCTTAGAACTGTTAAAAAGTCTTGTTTTATTTCCAAACTTCCAAGTGAATTCTTACCTCTGAACAATTTTCTACACCTTAATATTAACATTAATTGTTTAGTTTTTATTCAAACTAAAAGCAAGCAGTAAAAAAATACAATAGGTACTTCAAGCTGTCAATTAGTTTTTTCAAACCAATAAAATATTTTTCTACATTACAGTGGGAGGGAGAGTTTTTATAAAGGGGTCAAAAACAAAATATTAACATTTAAGAATAATAATATTTTATCTAAAAATGAAAATAAATCGTAGTGCACTCGATAAATGATAGAGGAAGTAAATGTTTGAATAGATTCTTATACTTCATCTGTCAAATTTAAATTACAAAAACAAAACATGTTAGTCTAACTAATATTTATTTAATAAAAATATTGATATCTTATTTTAAACTATAAAAAGATATACCAGTTACATTTTCTCTAAAATTGTACTTGAAATTATATATATTTTTTTTTTTACTCTAAGCTTTAGTGATATGCAATTGAGAACTTGAAAATTAAATCTAATATTACTGTTTCTTTAAATTTAAAGTGATTTTAAATAGTTTCCTTAATCATCAATAATATTTTTTATTTTCCAAAATCCTAACAGGGGTTTATTCGTTTATTGTGCTTTAGCTGGTTTCTAGTTTCTGTGTTTGTGTAGCTTCTATTCTAACCCCTTTTTCACCGCATGACTTTTATTAATTTTTTTAAGTTGCTACACAAAGTGCAATTTAATGTTATTTAGAAATCTGTACATATTTTATAGGTTTCTCAATGTTATACATCAATGGTTTTGTCAATGAAAATTACTATCCAAACCGTTGTTGTCATCATAACATTAGATATCAAACCTGCCAATATCTTTCTAATTGTTATTTTAATCCTGAAGCCTTAACAGTGACAGCTTGAAGAAATATTTCTCTCAGCTTTTGTAATTTGAAAAGGTTAAGCCATATTAACTTTTGTTTTAGTCTATTGTACTAATGTAAAACTTTTGTTGTGTGCAGCAATCAGTTGAAATAATTTTAGCAATTTATTATTTTCTAATGTTTTATATGAAATTTGCTATTTATTAGAACTCCTTTCCTGTATGGTTTTTTGTAATCAGATTTACATTGTAGACAAGGTTAATATGTAGATAGGACATGTATGTCTTTGACAATTAATGGTTTGGTTAAAAAAAGTTAAACATTTTTATCTATAACAAAACTTGTACACACATGGCACAAAAAAATTTAAAATTGTTTTTAAAATCAAAACTTACTGTGCATGTAGGTTCACTATAAGGATTACTATCTCTCCTTTACCAAAAGTACAAGTTATTGTGGTTATTCCATCAGCATTTCTTGCCTATTAGTTAGCAGAGCATACTTTCTTTTATTGTGTGTCCCTCCCCTGCATATGCTTAGTAACTGGTATTGTTTTGAAGATATCAAAAATAATTTGACAATATTTATAACTCCATTCTTCTAAAAACCCATATAATACCCTACATTTCTTTTCTCCATATCCCAAAAAAGTTTGGTTACAAACTCTAATTAAGTTTTTTTTATCTTTAAAAATAATGCATACAAAAGTATTTTATGTTCAAACAATTATATCGAAGGCAGTAAAAATGTACTGTAACTAAGAATTTTACAATTACTACAGATAAATTTTATGTCACACATGACTTGGACGATATGTTAGACCCCAGAATTGATCTAGTTCTTGTCAGGTATCCCGTGCAAGTGATCTAAACCCAAATTTAATTCTCAAAATTATAGGAATGATACAATTACTTTTATTTTCTTGAACAATGAGAGTCCTTTTGTTAAAAGAAAACAACAATTACAGATTTGTTACAGCAACTATTTCCTTTATACTTAATTGTTGCATCTTACATCTGCATGATCGTTAGATTAGATTTCTTAATTAGTTATTACATTTTATTTTTGGATTCTCAACAGAATCTTAGCTTTAAGAAATAATTGTTCCTAATATATATCTAAGATGAACTCTAATGTTATATTAATTGTAGTCACGTTACTTTAAAATTCTGAATTTAACAAAAATATTCAATTTTTTGGATCAGTTACTTGCAAACAACTTTAACAGAGATGGTACCGGTAGTACATTATGCTGTAGTTTAGTATTTTAGGATTTTTACACAATGTAAAAAATATTACAGGAATCCATAAATAATCACATCATAAATAATGTTAGATGTAAATGAATAAAATAAGTTTTAAAATCTAATGGTCTCAAGATCCATGCGTTTCAATGTATTTTGCATACATTATGTGAATTATATGTTCCCACTTTTTAACCCAATATTGTACCTTTTCTTCAAAAGAAGATAAATCCTACATAATATATTACACTTTTCCAATGTTATTTTTCGAATAAGAAAATTTCCTGTTAATTGTTACATAACTTTCACTGAAAGGGGGTTTTAAGCATCAAGGTAATAAAAACATTACACCTTTATTGGTTCATCTCAGCCAATTTTTAATCGCACTGTAAATGAATCACGGATAACCGAAGGACTCATTATCTTAACATATTAAAATGTTCTTTGTTAACTAATTTCGAGTGAAGTTTAAGAAGTCAAAGAAGTTGGTTTCATCCAGCTCTATAACTTGTAAAATCTTATCACTCGGGCAAGACAGAATCGGTTAAAAATAATTACAGCAGAACCTCGATAACAAGACTCTCATGGGGTTTATTAAATAAGACTCGCTATCAAGGTTGACTTCTCATTGAAGTTTGCAATAACATGTGATTAGGTGTAATAGCCTATTCAAGTGTATTTGAAAATGATACTATTTATCAAGAAAGACTTGTTACTAAGGGCCTTGTTATTGAGGTTCCACTGTACAAGATTTTGATAAATCAATAAATCATTGATGTTTAAGAAAATCATCCTAATTATATCTGATCAATTTGACTAACCACATAATCTCTCTGTGTGCAGGTTCAAAAAGAATATAGGAAAATGTTGAGGCGACAGCCGTGGCTAGTGAAGTGCCTGGGCTGTGTGGGAGAGACGAGTACGAGTAGCGGAAGTGGCAGTGGTAGTGGGAGTGGTAAGGAGCGAAGATCCAGTCTCTACACGGGATCCAACCAGTCACACAGCGGCCACACGCATACGGACCAGCACGGAACTAGTGTGGGTACTCATCTAACCCCCCGCACCCCAGCCCCCCAAGGTACAACATACCCACGTACCCCCGTACCACCTCACTAACGCTACGCAACGCTCTAACATGGGGGCTGGGCCCGCTTGTACACTTTTCAAAATTTGGCAAACTCATAACTGGTCCTGCAGCAATGGTTCTGGTATCCTTCCACCTTCTATCCTAGTGCACACACTTCAGAGATCGATTTGGCGCGATGAACATTTTGAAGTATAAAATTTAGAATAGTTTATAATTTTTATACAAAATCTGTTGATTTCAATGACAGTTACAAAACTATACATATCAGATGGTCTCTAAATGTGTTATGCTTGTAAAGGTTCCCATCTTAGGTAATGTTATTTATTTTAAGAAATCTTTTTGGCAAAAACTAATTTAAATTTTTCATAATTTTGTAAATAACATTTTATAATGCTTTTGATTCAACACTTTTTTAGACATAAAATTCTTTATCTATAATCTTGCTTTGAATGTTAATGACCATGATTATCAACTATTTTAACAGCACATTTAAAGTTTTAATTATAAACCCAAGAAACATAATTTAGTTAATATATCATTACGCTTTCCACATATGATTACTTCAAACAAATATTTTTTTAATTTTTTATTTGTATTTAACAACTGTTGGGAATCACATGTTGGATCAAATTAGTTTATTGCTATCATAAAAAAATAATACTAACGATATAAATACTTTAAACAAATTGTAAACAGACTTTTTTGGCAATAGTTATTATTATGCCAAAATACTAAAAAGATAATCTAGTCAAAGAAATTCATTGAACATGATATTTGAAAACTTAACATATTTTAAACCTTGTCACACAATTCAATTTTTCACTTTTCTATATTCTTATAAAAAATAAGGAGGATATTGTTTATCTTACTTTCTTATTTAAATGTTTTACTGTTTTTTTTTCTAAATGCATCACTTGAATCTCTGGTTTAACTGTTCACTATAATATTTCTGCACTAAAAAAATAAATCTTCACTGCTTGAAATGGACTAAGAGGTATAAGGGAGTTATTAGTTATGAATATGTGTTAACTACTATGTACAATAATTATTGTATGCCCACCTACACTTTTCTAAGTATTGCTTACAAATTCCAAAACAATTTATTTCTGGAGTCACGACTGTGTGCAACATATAACCTGAAAAAATACTAGAATGCTCCCATGACAAATTCCATAGTTCACTTAAGTGTGTTTCATAATATCTAAAAAAAAGACATTTTTATGATTCTTCGGACGAAAACTCAATATAAAATATCATGCATTATGAAAATGATAGAAAGTGAATAAATCTCTTTCACCATCTTAAATCTCAGAAAGGCAAAGAGTATTGAAAGTTTATTTATAGCATCGATGTGTGGTTTTAATTATAGTTGATGATTAGGAAAGAATTGTTCAAAGTCACAGTGTGTTTTTGTCGTTTGCATAACAATGTTTGATTCATAATAAATAACTTGCCAGGTTGCAAGTATTCCTTTAAAAACTTAAACAATATCAATATATTAATTTCTGTACATTCCATATACAGTAGTATTTCCATTATCCACAGATTGATTAACCACAATGTGGATTAATCGTGATCACAAAAAATCAAAATAGAAAATTATATTATCCAAGTTAAATATACTTTACGACGGTAAAAATAATTAGCATGAGGAGGCCTATGATGATTTTGCAGGTAGACTATAAATTTGCTTACTTCACCTACCGATGAGTCATCAATTGCAACCAATGAGTTAATATGTTACATTTTGTGTGTGTTTTAATTTTTGTCATTACTAGGCCTATACATAAGATTCCTAATATTATTTGTTTTTTAAGTGTGTGAAACAAAGTTGAAAGTTATCTACACTGCTAAACTTGTATTAAAGTTTAGTCATACATTTTAAATCAATGTTTGTTATTTCCTCAGGCATTTTAGGTTAAATTTGCGTTATCCACGATTTCCATCGTCCACGATCACTCAGCCACTCATTATTGTGGATAATGGGGATTCTACTATATTCATTAAATACTGATACGTTCAATATTGTTTATGACGATAAAGATACTTTCACACGTTGAATGTACGAACAATGAATACCTCAAAATATTTCCCCAATGTAATTTTAATAATTTTTTTTCTGTAATTTTTGAATCCTTTTAGTATGTGCTCTAAACAAAACTAAAACCAACAGCAGCTTATCCCAGCACAAATCAATAATACCAGATGACGTTTTAGCTTGGCATATATTGTAAATTTTACAAAAAAACGATTACTGGAACTCGACCACATATTCTCAGATCGGTGATTAAATATAACCGATGACTAAACCGTCTACAGCAATTTTTCCATAACTAGGAGGCAAGAGACAACATAGGATTTGAATCCTACTTAAGTTGTTGGTTCTGTGCAATTTAGGATAAGTTAATACAAGATTTGGTAGGAGGGCTAACCTATAAGCAAAAAAACCAACACACCCAGGGACAGTAAGGGTGGAAATCTGATCAGTCATTTGGTTACATTTTTAAATCCATCCTTACAGTGTAGGGGAAGTGTTTATTTTAGAGTGTAACTTAATAGTTTAACTACCAAGGGACAAGTAATAAACCTCAAGTTTAGGGTAGTGAGAGAGTAGGGAAGGAGGAGAAACTTACCTAGAATGGGTTTTGTGGTATGCAGCATTAGACCCTATTGTAACACTGTACAGTGTTTTGATGTAAGATTGGTGGCGCATTGATCTTATTGAACCACGGTTGCGCGTCCATGCAGAAAAATATCACATCTAAACCATCTAACAATAAATTCAAACTATCCATGACGTTTTAACATTGATTATGTAGTTCTAGGGGCTGAGAGAAATTAAAGAATTAAGGGAGTCCATGTTAAGCATGTTCCACTGCCTTTGTTCGTTCATCCCCAATGGTATTCAAAGAGTAAATCTTTGCCTGATACTGACGTACTGGAACATTGCACTGGCTTTGACTAAGTTTATGTATTTACTTACAGTATTTCCTGCAGCGTGGGTGGAGCTCGCGCAGCACAGCGGGAGTGCCACAAGCGGGGCCAGCTGTAGAAGTGGCGGGGCCCACAGTCGCAACCTTGCCTCACCACTACACTCACCGCTCCCCCCACACCACCATCCCCAAGTCCGCAACTACCACGTGGGATCCCCTACATAAACCGCCGACATGGAAGGTACCATAAGTCTTCCAAACTAGACATATTTTATCAAGAATCAAGAATCAAGAGTTTTATTGCCATTGACCTTTCTTTGTACAAAGGAATAGACATAGTCAAAACACATACAAAATATTCCAAATTAACAAATAAAATACAAAGTTTTACAAAATACTTAGTTAATTAAAATACAACATATCTAGAGTATCTATCCTATCTAGAGTACATATCTATCCTAAAAGATACATTTATATAATCTGCAGAATTGTACATACTTTAAATAGTAGTACAAGTTACCTCAAGCTTGGTAACAATAAGATGCTACATTTTTGCATTCAATGAATATTACATCTTCTTTTACAATTATTGAAGTTCTACTTAAAAACCAACAAATACAAATAAATTTGTAAAACCAATCAATTTGATTACAAATATACTACTTGTCAACTCTGTAGTACCTTTGACTAATACAACTAGACAATCCAATTTGTCTTAGTTGATGTGAGCCGCCTACAGATTGCACTGATATAAATTACCGATTTCTGCCGAATGCACGATGGTTTTTACCAAGTCTAACTGGTGAAATGACTTATTATGAGCTATAGCAACTATTATGACCCAGTAACTATGTCAGTAACAAAAAATAAGGTACAAAATAGAGTTTTAGACACTAGACCAATCTGTGACTGGCTCACACAACTACATTATTTTTAGTAAAAAATTGGCGACAGCTGATCCATATAAATGTCTTCTTCTGTATCCAATAGTCAATAGTAGTACACAATACTTTTTTTACTGACAAACATATCATGGTTTTTGTTTTTACTTTGTTAGGGGTATTGGAATTCACCTATTTATGGGTTTAATTCTTTTTTACAATGCCAATATTTATTTTCAGAATATTTCGTTTAAGACGTACAGTCGAGACTCTGGGCACGGCGGATCAGAAAGGGAGGAATCACCGCGAGGAGTCGTGGGTATCCACAATCATAACCACAGTGGAGGGGAGAGGCCCCGTCCTAGCTACCAGTACCATAAGCAAGACTGCATGCCTCCCCATAGTGGGCGGGGACGAGCCGCTAGCCCGTGGAACCATACTTACACAGAGATACGAGAACAGCATGTTGCGTCAGCACACGAAGATCCTGTCTACGAGGAGATCGAGCGAGAACGGGAACGTGAGCGTGAACGTCATGAAGTCAGTGTAAGCGACATGAGTGATGAAGACGGCCGACGACAGAGTGACATGAGCAGACAATCGTCTCGTAGCTACGGGGACCACCGTCCTCTCATCCCGTACTCTCCCCCGCCTGCCCCCAACTTCCAGGCGGCGCTGGACGCAGCTCTGAGGCACCGTCTCGAGCAGGCGCGCACACAAGGTGTGGTCCAAGGCAGCGTTGCGGTGCTTGACGGAGAGACTGTAGTCTGCCACCTGACCCCCGACTTGTATTCCTGCCGGACTATGATCCAACAGCCGTACAGCGAGTGTTAATAGTGCCCGCACCTCCTAGATACTAATTTATTTATTTAAGGGTGTTGAACCGTATCGACTTTTAAGACAGTTTATGTTTGTTGATATTCGCCGTGTTAATATTGTAAATAACATCTTTTTTTTAATGCCGTGTCGTCGTAGACACTAAACGGCATTGGCACTGTGTTTTGTTTGATTGTGAAATAACACAGTGTCCCTATACCTGTGATGAGGCCATAAACTACCTAGACTACTTGTACAGTTGTAATATTTCGAATGATTTGCACGGGATTTGCAAATAATTGTTATAAGTTATTTTTACTACGCTGTGATTATTATTTATTTCCATTAAGGGTTTTTTTAAATACTCTTTCGTGCATTTCTTTATTATTACCTCAAGCTCTACTACTTTTAAATTTTCCATTTTCCGTAGTAGACTGTAGAAAGTCTCTGAATGGACTTTCTCTTACAACGGCTTAATTAGTATAAGAGCGTAAGAAGTTGATTATCTTCTGAGATTTTATTTTATCTGGGATAAATTATATATTTTTTGCTATTTATGACAGTTAGTTTTAAGTTTTCATTTTTGGATGTGATAGAAATAAAAGACTGCACATATATTTTAAGAGGATAGTACAGTAAATAAGAAATTAAATTAGTATTAACCGTTTCACCGATTAATACTTTCCTGTAATTTTTTAATGCGTTTAATCACTGGTCGAGTAAACCATAATGTTCACTGTCCTGTGAAATCTTTTACCGACGATTGTTGAATGAATCAGTGGCCTGGTGTTTCTAAATTTGGAAATCATAAATGTTTAGTCTAACATATTGTGAGATAGTTGATATGTCAGTTTGTAAATACGTAAGTGGATATTTGTAAATTTGTACATACATACAGTTCCGAACACTTGTACAAACATACCCTATGATAAATAAATATTATTTTGAAACATGATCTTAACCTTTTTTTACCCCACTTGGTTATTGGTTTGAGAGTTGTGGTGTGAGACGTACTATGAGTTAACCGACGTTGCAGTTTTTCTCACTAAGCTAAAAAAATACCTTATCAGTGATGGCAAGCTCAAAAAAACATCAAAGTTGCCAGAATTTCTACTAAATTCTTTTGATGAAGTAGGATTTCAACAAGCGGTGTGGATTAATATCTCATCCTATAGTCTATATCTCATCATTAATAGCCTACCAATAACTTTAACCAAAACAAATATGTTTAGTTTTGTAATCTTAACGAATGTCACCAAAACTGACATCATAAATCAAGCTTTGAATTGATAAACTTGTTACTATATCAAACCAATAAGTTGCACAAGCAAATTTGCTATGAGAACTGCAAATTAAGGGAGTTTTGATATACTTATGACTACACCAGTAGATGTTAGTGTTGCAAACCCCCTATGTTTTCCATTTAGAGTATTTTAAAATGTTTGCACTAAAAGCCTGCTTAGTATACCTGTAACTTATGATTAGTTTAAGCTTAACTCAGGTGTGGATAACTGCTATGAGTACTTCTCAAAATTAACTCTAGATAATAGTATATTTTCATCACTAGGGCCTAAAGTGACTCTTTTTGACCCAAAGTCGGGAAATGAGCTAGGGTTAAAAAGACACTTTTTGCTCATTTGGTGAACTATATTTTTCGTCATATTGCATAATTAATAAAATAAGCTAGACCGAAAGAATTTGTATGTAAAGATAACCTCTCATAACAATTTCCAGCTTGTTTTCAAGAGCTAATGCATATAAGCAGCTGTTTAGTAAGTGATTCAATCATTTTGTCTATTACGATTGTGTTACAGTACATTATACCATCGATATGTCGAGCGATCAACAAGAATAGGCTAAAACCTTACCTAATAAATCAATCGATAAATATTTTGGATCGATACGATTACCACAATGAAAATATACAACAGCTGACTTTTACTCCCTAGGGACTAAAAATGATTTTTACTCCTAGAGTGTAGAAATGCTACTTTAGACCCGTAATGAATGCATTAAAAAACAGCTGATTTTGCTGCAGTATGACGAAAAATTTTTTCCTATCATGGACATCAAGCAAGCCACAATCAAGCAAGCAGTTTAGTACTGTGATCTGCAGCTTTACTTCTAAAGTAAAAACGGAAGGACAAACAAACCTGCTGTTCAAAATTGAGCACGTTACGTAATGTTTTTTACCAATGATTATTTTTTAAACTAGCTTTTTTATTCAGTTCTTATAATTGACAAAGATTCACTTTACCTTTATAGTATCGTTTACTTACTTTACAGTACAAATTTGGACCAACGAGGTTCAAGAATTGAGAAAAAAGAAGTAAAATTGTAATACTTCGAACAACTTATCAGCTGTTCAGCCTAATTTAATTGATTAAACATTGCATTGCCATGAGTGCCAACGAGAGGCTAAAAACTAAAACAACCTCTCTTGGAAGTTATGAGAAGTGAATTTTAGTAATTAATTAAGAAATGGTCGTAGGTAAAGTAGTGTAAGCAACTCGCGTCATTAGCTTTTACGACACTCAGAGAAGTTTTAAAGGCACTCGCCAAGGCTCGTACTTTAAATTTTCAACTTGTGTAGTAAAGACTCCTTATGTGAGCGTTGCGTAAACTACTACAATCTACATTATGTAACAATAAAGTAACAGGGACAATGATGAATCCAGATGCCTATCTCTTGCCATCAGATGTTATGTCTCATTGGTATGTTCAGCAGTGGTACATTACAATTTTTCCTACACCCTCAAATTACTCGTGGGCTTGAAATTCTGATGTGGTATTAGGGTGTAGGTGTAAATAAATAAAACTGTCAAATCTACAATAATAACAATTATTATTTTCTTATGCTCTTCGCCTACACTTTGCGAGATTTCCTTTAAGTCACATACGACCCACTTTATAGACACTTTAAAATAGCAGATCCCTCGACCATCAAAATAACCATAGCTGGATGCTTTCCAAAGGCCATTGTGATTCATCGTATCATCGTATGGGTTGTTAATACTCCGCTCAAGTTATCGTCAGTTTCATCACATTACATTTAATATTTAATTATTTCACATTTTATTACTACAATAGAACCTCAATAATTAGACTCTTGATAATCTGGAACATCCAGTGATCGCGCTCCATCAAATTTCTCTAAAGCTGTTTCACTTTCATATATACTGTACACCTGCAAATGTTAAAGACCTTTGAGGTTTATAAGAACCACAAGAAAACATTGTGCCAGGATTGCCAACACTATTCGACAGAAACATTTAAAAGTAAGTATCAAAGAAATGTGTTTTTAATGAATCAGACAGCATGGTCATATAATTTAGTTTTATATTACTTATAATGTTACTTCAAGATATCTAATTCTTTTAAATGTTATGGGAAAATGAACTGAGAGATTGGAAAATTAGGTTTAAGCGTGTAATTCAAAGTGAAAGCTGGCCCGAGGTAGGCGTGTGATGCGCTATGGGGCTGGATAGAAAATTGAGCTCCTCTTCACCTACCTTATAAGGTGGAATTTTGGTCTTCCGTATACCCCCAACAAACCTAAGATCTCTTGGCACATTTATAAAGCGGTCCTGAGTGAAAAAAGTACCGTACGAGAATAGTTTAGTGTGAGTAGTCAGAATAGGGGTCTCAATCCCGGGATCCTGGTCGATTTTTGGTACCTACCAAGATATCCCGGGATTGGGGTCTTTTAATCCCGGGATTAACAGGATTGCAAAACCTATGTATTTATATATTTTTTTTTATTTGAGGAGTTTTTCTTATGGAAAATATATAAAAATACTTCCAATAAACACTTGAAACACGTACGATGTTTATTTTTAGGACGATAAATAGATATATATATATACAGGGTGATCAACTCAAGGAGGCCACCATTGGGATATCAGAAACGGTAAGAATTAGAGAAAACTTTAAATGGGGGACATTCCTTTATTTTTTGTGGCAGTTAAAAATATGATTTTATTTTATTCGAAATCAGCCGCCATTTTCCAAAATGGCGGCCAACTTTGAAATTTCTTATTGAACAGCCTATATTTTATGATGTTTTCGGATAGAACAGGCAACTTAAAAACTTTTTTATTCTTGACATTTTTTCGATAAAACCCACTCGTTTAGGAGTTACAGCCTATGGAAAAATGACTTCCGGTGTACATTTTACATCATATAGCTCCTAAACAAGTGGGTTTATAGCGAAAATGCTAAAAGTAAATAAGTCAAATAAGTCTTAAAATTGCATCCACATTCCATAAAGACCATAAAATACAGTTTTCCACTTTTCAAGTTTGCCGCCATTTTGGAAAATGGCCGCCATTTTTGAAATAATAGAATTAATAGTTTTAACGAATTTTATGTTCTTTTTGGAATGTGGATGCAATTTTAAGACTTATTAACTTTTCGCATTTCGCTATAAACCCACTTGTTTAGGAGCTACATGATGTAAAATGTACACCGGAAGTCATTTTTCCATAGGCTGTAACTCCTAAACGAGTTGGTTTATCGAAAAAATGTCAAGAATAAAAAAGTTTTTAAATTGCATGTTCTATCCGAAAAGATGATAAAATATAGGCTGTTCCATAAAAAATTTCAAAGTTGGCCACCATTTTGGAAAATGGCGGCTGAATTTCGAAAAAATAAAATCATATTTTTAACTGCCACAAAAAATAAAGGAATGTCCCCCATTTAAAGTTTTCTCTAATTCTTACCGTTCCCGATATCCCAATGGTAGCCTCCTTGAGTTGATCACCCTGTATATACAGTATATATATGAAATATGGTATAAACTGTGATCTTTTTTAATTGGACAGTTTAATTATCATCCTACTCAATAGGCAAACGCAGTGTAAGTATATTATGTTTCATGTTTTTAGACGAATTGGATTTACTTTCTGTGAATGTTATTAAATTACTTAGAAGTGGTGAAGGTGAAGGTGGTGAGGTAGGGTTACAGTACGCCTATAGGTTATTTGGAGTTTTACTTTTGACATTTCACACAAACAACGAAATTGATGTAACAAACATAACATGGCAAACGGTGATTAATTGTATAAATTTTGTTCGTTTACGTCTTCGCTCTTATTTCATCAGTTAGGTTGTGTCGTATTTAATCTGTAAATATACCTAACCTATTCTAGTACCGTAATATAACCTTTATTTTGTAGGCTAAGATAATCTATACTAAGTATAACTTTCTCTACATCTCATGTATTGTTACATTAGGACTAAAAATTTATAGAATGTACATTATATTTTTTATTTTTATTGAACGTTGTCACATTAACTGGATGCTGTGGCAACGTAATTCCGGGTTTTTATTTGATTTGTATTTTATGTAATTATGGTGGAATAAATCATTATTTCATTATTTCACATTGTGGTTTTTTGTGGGAAATAAACTTCATTATTCATCATTATTCATTATTCATTATTCATTATTCACTCGTTGAATTGTACAAGTTAATTTAACTATGAATACCAAAACCTTATCTCGATAAAAAACTAAAGCATGGCTTGTTTTCTTTTTAATACACATACCGGATGTTTGTGATTTAGATAAAATTACTTTTTACAACATTTGTTGTGTACAAATTAGTTGTAGATCATGTGTTTCAAAAGATATTTTGCCTTTAAAAAATATCATAGGTAAAAGGGATCCAGTTTTTATTCAAAAAAGTCGACTTGGATTCGAAACGTATTTGTCTAGTGTTGTCAAATTTCTCAAAGAAACAATGCCTTGAGTGTTAGCAAAGTTCTTGGATTTTCACAAGTATGACCTATTATTCCTGCTTCGAGACATGTCATCTACATTTTTTTCACGGTCTATTTGAAGGCACTGAATTCCCTGCAGTGGTCTACAGGGATGTCTGACGCACAACTGCGTCGCTTGGTCTGTGGATATGATGATTGGTGACGTCATATGATAGTTGGAAAAACTGGTCT